CGTCACTAAGTCTGCAGCCCCTAGCACAGTGCCTTGAATGTGACTAAATAAATATTTGTTGAATATTTAACCACAAGCAATGGCAGTCTCTCAAAGGTAGGCAACCATGTCTTTGACTTTTCTCCAGTTCCCTAGAGCTCTTTGTATGATTCCGGTACTTAATAAATGGGTGTGGGTGAAATGAAAATTATATTAGCAGACTTAGATTTTCATTGGGCTACTTTAGAGAAAGATTAGGATAGGAGGGAAAAGTACACTGCCCTGATTGACTAGAAAGGAAGCCCTATTTTCCCTTTATAGAAATTTGCCATACTTTCCATTCCTGCCCCCCAACCCCCTATGACACAGTTTATACTTAAAAAAATATTTAATGATTCCCAGTTCCCTGCAGGCCAGTTCCCAGCAGGGGATGCGCAAAGGGCAACCATACATTGATGTTTCTCTCCCTCTCTCCTTCCCTTCCCCTCTAAAGATAAATACATAAGTAAAAAAAATTATTAAAAATATTTAATGAAATAGAACTACCTTGGATCATTTGAAATGGTTGCTCATTGCTGTTGTATCCAGTAAATAGATATTCCTTTGATATGCACATCTTTGTAATGTTCTAAATTGCTTCTTACTTACATTTTAAGCCGAAATCATGAAATACATGATTCTAACTCATTATATGTTAAATGACTTGGCAGACTAAGTCTAGCTAGCAGTTCAGTTTCAAAATCATTGTCTTGGAATGTGTTTCTGTGTTTGGTGTGGTCATGATTTTGCGCAGCAGGATACTGCATTGCACACTCACCTAGTAATACTATAGTACTGCTGGTCTTGGGGTTTCTTTAGTGGGAGGAGGCCTTTGGGGTATTTTTATGTGCACCTCCTCGTGAACCTTGCAGATCACTGAAATGCAGATTTATAAAACAGTGAAACACACCTCTTTATTCCTGTCTCCACTCATTTTTCCCTCTCAGGGTTTGAGTTTCAGGGCTGTTGACTCCTTTTTCCTGCTTTATCTCAGTGGGGAACGTGGCAGTCAGTGACAGGGAAGAGATTAAGATGCGGTAGTTAATTGATGGAAATGCCTTAGAGTTGCCACACTCCAGTCATTCATATTTAACCTAGTTTTAAGGTCTTTCATAAATGTTATCATTTTATAGCAAAAGAGTTGCTCAATATTATTGTTACTAAAACTTCCCACATCTATGACCTTCAGAACCCTGATATTTCATATGGCCTAGATCTTCAGTATTTTCATATTTAAATCCCCACTATTTAATTTCAAAAAAGTCATTGATGTTATTTCTCACAGTATACAAGGATACTTTATAATTTTAGGGCTTTTTCTTACCTTTAACCAGCACCACTTACGGTAAATGTGTTTACCAGTTTTATTCAGTAAGTTTAATTTCCAAATGCGTGAATCTTAAATATTTGCTCTTTTGAAATAAATCTTAAATATTTGCTCTTTTGAAATAAGCCAGTGACTTATTTCCTGCTTCTCCGTGTTGTATAGTATAAAAAGAAATCTCTTCTTGGTGCATGTAAGCGGGTTTATTGGAGACAGAGCAATGGAGCAATTTCCAGTGCAAGGACTGAGTCATATCGTTTTACAAAATGCTTTCTGCCACCATTCATGCTAACTAAAGAGTGAAATTAAACACAGAAGTGTCTAGTATGTTTCCATTCTTGAATTTGGAATAGATTTTGAAGTTTATAAACGAGTACTGTGAACTCGTTTATAAACTATCTCACTTCATTTCTGAGGATTCAAGTTGGAATGCCAGCCGTACAATAGTATTTAAGAGGAAGGGGAACTGGCATTAAGGCATGCACTTAAGCAATAGAAGAATTTACTTTGCAGTGCCTTCCAAGGTCCATCAGGTCCATCTCTTATTTACCCAGAGAGTGTGGATCTCACTGTGTTTGTCCAGAAGGTGTGACTCTGTGGAGGAGAGTGCTTATTGGTAAGTATTGGACTCTTACCGTACCATGTTTCAGGAAAATATGTTTAGAAATCAAATGATTTTTAGCAGTGATAAAATCTCTGAGTCTGTGCTGGTTTCTTAACAGTGGACGGTCACAGATGTTGAAGTCAGCACAAGAAGAAAACCCAAATTCTGATAAGACTTGAAGATTTTTCAAAAATTAAATGCAAATAGGGCAGATGTTTCTGCGGGAGTCAAGACTAAGTAGTACAGTACGAAGATAAGACGTTGGAGAGCTTCTCATGTCCTTCTTTTGCATAAAGGCTGCATACATGCAACTCAGGACTGTAGTGAGTTTCTAAGAGGGGGCGGAATTACATCTCTCGGAATTTAAAATGGCAGACTCATGTGACCCGGAACGTACATTGTAGCACAATTTATTTTAATACTTCTTCTCAAAGTCCTTTCTGTTTCTAAATAAAAGCTGTGCCTTCTGAAACCTGTAAGTGACATATATTGGCCACAACAAGCCTTTTGAAAGTGTTTTCCAAATCCAACGTTATAAGTGTGGAGCAATGTCTGTTTTGAAATCAGTAAAACAGGAAGATACGGGAGGGTCTGATTTCAGAGGCCAATTGTTGCTTCTGCTTTATGCCTTATCATGTCTTTTCTTTTTCTTTCACCCAAGATCCATAGTTGACTATTGGTTGAAAAAAACTTGGAAAGTAATGTTTGTGCATGTGATACAGAAGTTTAAAACAAAACAGAACAAAACTGAGCCACCCACACGTGAGACAGGTTTTCTGGGGATGAACCAGAGCACATAAACATGCCACTGTAAGCCACTGCCGGACCCCCGTGTGCCCTCTGGAGGGCTTGGTGCTGATGGAACCTGTGCCTTAGTAAGAGATGACAGCAGTGCAGAATCTGGGAGGAAGAACCCAGTGCTCAGACTTGGCAGCAGGCAGACAAGGGTTGAGTCCTGGAGTTGCCAGTTACTGACTCTCTGGTCTTCAACACAATACTTGAGGATTCTGAATTTGCTTGTCATGCTGTGGAACCACATGCTGTAGAATGTCTTCTGGTGTGGTGACTGGTGGTGGTCCTGCCCTGCTGAGTCAAGAAGACTGGCCACATGGTCTACATCGTGGTTACGGATATGCTGGGGTGGGGGATGCCAGGAACCCCTCCTCATTGACATGATAGTAGGGATTGAGAATGCATTTCTATGAGACCCATTTTTGTTTTGCCTTGTGTCTAATTCTGCCAATCCCTAATCTTGAGGACTCAAAAAATCTCTTGAAGATGCAAAAATCTCTTGAAGTTGCCTTTTAGGAGGCGTCAATAACACGTGTGAAGGGAGAGAGCATCAGGAGCACACAGTTGAGGTGACAAGGGTAAAAGATGATCAGTCATCCAGCCGTTGACACCAACGCCTGCTGTGTGCTAGGGCTGGGGGACATGAGAGGGAACAACAGAGACACAGGTTCTTGCAGCTGTGAAGCTTACGTCCCAGATGTGGGAGACAGACCATGCACAAAGGACTGTTAGGGGGTGGAGATAATGCACTTGTAAAGGGGGTTGTGGAAGCTGGGCAAGGGAGTGGCTTTCAGGTTAAAATTGGGCTCATGGAAGAGGTGATATTTGAACAGAGGCTTGAAAGAGATCAGGGAGCCAACCACGTGGAAATCTGGGAAAAGGGGGTACTCGGGGAACAGATCTTGTAAGTCTCTGAATGGGCTTTGACTTTTCCTTTAAGTGGAATGCGAAGCCATTGGAGAGTTCTGAACAGGGAAGTGACCTGATCTGACTTACAAGAATGTCTCTGGCCGCCGAATAGTGATGGGATCAGGGACTAGTCAACAGGCTATTGGAGTAATTCAGGCTGGAAATGATGGTGGCCTGGATCTGGGTGTAAATGGTCAGATTCTGGGTCAGTATTGGCTGGTCACTGGATTGTGGTGTGGGAGGGTCTAAGAAGTGTTCACGTTTTTGGCCTGACAGCTGAAAGGGCAGAGTTGTCGTTTGCTGTTTACTGAGGTGAAAACTGAGGGAGGACATTTTGGGAGGATAGCATCTCAGGTGTGGACAAGATGAGGTCCTACTAGATGGCCTCAGGCAGAGAGGAGATAGGGGGATATACCGAGGTCATTATTTAATGCTCAGTTTGCACAAAGTGGTAAGTTATAAAAGTTCTGTTTAAGTGGTTTAAATCTCTGAGAAGATGGCATTATAATTCACATTTTATAAAGTAGGATGTGGTGCAGAAAGATAAATTTTCTGAAGATCACAAGTATGAAACTTTGTTTTGTGGCTGCAAGTTCCACATTGTTCTGCTAACTTTATTATGTAAAATAGGCATTCAGTTTTATAGTTGCCATAATTGGCTAGACAAAGTACAGTATTTCTCTTAGCTACCTTTATATCGCATGCACTCTGTCTGTCTTCCAGAGAAGGATAGGTGATATCTTTGATGAGGTTTGTGTGTAAGTTTTTTTTTTAACTTTTAGTTGTGTTGAAACTTAAAATTCTCACGTAGGCTTCAACTTTGAATATACATTTAAGAAATTTTAAATTGTGAATGGAGATGGCAATGAATATAATTACTTTTTAAAAACATTTTTATATCTTATCATTTCTACTTTTAAAAGCAGTTTACTGTAAAATGTATAATGTTTATTTTTCATAATGCAAACATGTTATTGAGCTTTCACATTGTTGTTCTAGGTATGATGGCAAACTACAATACAAATAGCAAAATACAAATTGAAATCTTATAAAAATTGCATATTCTATTAATTAAAGGTTTATGTACTTTATCATTTTCATTCATAAAGCAATAGAATGTTATTTTATTTATATGTTCCCAAGGCATTTAAACTTTATGTCATCTAATGACTTAAGTGATCAGGAACAGATTAATTAATATAGTTTTCTTAAATAAAACAGTCATACATATTCTTAAAAGTCATATACAGTCATTTGTGGAACGTGACTATGTTTTCTCTGACCTTGGTTTTTTTAAACTTAGCGTTTGTGGTCTCTCATCTGTGTAATGGCTGACTCTCTCTGATTACGCAGGACGCCCTGCACGTGGCGGGTGTGGAGATGCAGCTGACGGCTGCAGGCTCGTTTCTCACCATTCTCCAGGAAGACTCAGTGTCAATTCATACATATGCCCACTCCTTCCTCCAAGTCATTCTTCTGCATCTGGAGCACAGGGACGCAGGTCAGGGGCCTGGTGTGCTTCTTTATGTACTTGCTTATTGCTTCTTGTACATGGTCATGCTGTTCTTTGAGTCCGTTAGTCTGATGAGGACAACCAAATCAGGCCATGTTGCCCAAGACTTGATCTTTAGCATGACTAAAAATAGCCCTGGCTGTTTCCTTACAAAATTCCGTGTCCCTGAAAGCTGAAGATCCATCAGTTCATCTTATGTTTTATTTACACTTTCTTCTTAGATTTTTTAAACATTTTACAATATTTGTGTTTATAATATTATAATATAGTATCAGCAAAATGCACAATTAAAGATATCTCCCAATATTATTTTTTAAAGATTTTATTTATTTATTTTTGAGAGAGGAGGAGGGAGGGAGAAAGAGAGAGAAACATTGATGTGAGAGAGAAACACTGATTGGTTGGCTTTCCTATGTGCCCTGACTTGGGACTGGACCCACAGCCCAGGCATATGCCTGACTGGGAATGGAACGAAAGGCCACTGTTTTGGAGGTTGATGTCCAACCAACTGAGCCACACTAGCCAGGATCCTCCCCAAATACTGTTTTTAAAGATAAGTGCTTTCTAGATATTGGGTAAGATGAAAACTAGAGAAACTTGACACTATTGATAAAATAAGTATTCCATTTTATTATTAAATGCTATAACAGTACTATAACTATTAATGGCTGAGTTGAAACTACACTTGTGAGACTTTGAATGTGGCCTGTTTCAGGCGTCAGCAATGCGTGGCTGGAAACTCTGCTGTCCGTGATCGAAGTGCTGCCCAAAGAGACCCTAAGGCACGAGGTAACTCCTTTTTTTTTTTTTTTGTAAATAGTCATAGTCACTTTTAAGATTTTGGGTTTTTTTAAAATAAAAATGGTATTTAAAGAATAATAAAGTTATTTCCCACTCTGAAAGCAACACATGCTCGTTATAGAAAACCTAAGTAATACAGAAATTAGTAGGAAGAAAAATCATAATTTTGTACTTAGGCATTTTTAACATTCTGGTATATTTTTATTGCAGATTTTTCTACCTATGTTAGTTGCTGTTTGGTCGTAATAGTGATCATTTAGTATTATTTTCCTATGTTATTTTAAACTCATGTAGTAGTAGCTACAAAATATTTTACTCATTGGACATTTAAGCCTGTTTCAGGACTTTTATTATCAAAACAAGGCAGTACTAAACATCTCTGTAGAGCTTTTCCTGTTTTTCAGATGACTTCCTTAACTATAGCTTCCATAAAAGCAGAATTACTGGGTCAGTGGGCATTAATATTTTTCAAAATATTTTATTTATCTTTAGAGGGGAAGGGGAGGTGAGAGGGAAAGGAATATCAATGTATGGTTGCCTCTCATGTGTCCCCTGCTGGGAACTGGCCTGCAACCCAGTCATGTGCCCTGACTGGGAATTAAACCACGATCTTTTGGTTCGCAGGCCTGTGCTCAGTCCACTGAGCTATACCAGCCAGGCTGGGAGTTAATATTTTTAAGGTTATTAACTAGCAGTATGTAAAAATACCTTTTTCCCTGGACTTTTATCAGCAATAGTATTCCACTTTAATCTGATTAGCCAAAAATGGAATTACATTTTAATTGGAATTTAAAAAATTATAAAAAATTTAAAATTTTTATTGTATATTGCTATTGTATATTTTCTCATATACTATGTTTATATCAATTTCATTTAATCTTTTGGAATTAACTAACAGTATCATTAATCACTACTTGTTTGTGCTATTTATCTATCAAGGTTGCCAGTCCTTTATTATGTTTGCTGCCAGTGTTGTTGCCAATTTGTTATTTGGTTTTCATTTTTCAACATTGTTCAACACACCCTTCTCAGAAAGTTTCAGTAAATTAAGATGAGAAAATAGGCAAATTAGAAAATTTTTTTCTGTAATGAAAAGTTTTTTCATCCTGTGAACATTAGCCCTATATTTACTTCATTTCAAATGTGTCATGGTTGAAAAAAACAATTGTCTATCAGTAAAATGCTCTCCGTGGATTTTATGAAGTGTCTTTGTCCTTTGCCCTCATACAGTTTCGGGTCCTTTCTCAAGGGCACAGTACTTGCTTGGAGATGGGAACACTGACCCAGCCCCAAGGATGCTGGTGTACTTGATGTGCAACGTCCAGCTGAGTGCCCACGTTTAAATGTTGACTGTAGCGTTGATGTGTGTTATTTATGGTTTTGTGAAGAGTGATATGTGGTAGAATGCAGTTTTTACTCTAGAATGCCCTCTGTTGTTTAACATGATTTTTAAGATTTTATGTATGCATTTTATTTTATTTCAAATATTTTACTTTCAAATTATATTTAACATTATGCATTCAGTAATTCTGGCTACTTTGTTGAGAGGAATAAAACCAGTTGATGTTTTATTAGAGTCATGGAACTTTAGAACTTGGAGGAATCTTAGTATGACATATTCTGATTTCCATTTTAAGTAGATGAGAAACCTTGGGGTGAGAATTGGCAAGCTGGCTTGGACAAATAAAAGAGCTGGGACTGGAATCGGGGTTTGATCTTTGTAGTTCTCCCCAGTTTATCATGCTGCTGTGTTTTTCAGTGCTCAGCATATACATAATGCAGTATAAGGCTTGGGTCACTGTAGTCAAATGACAGAATTTCTTAATAGAATCTTTTGAAGCTATCATTTATAATGCTTTGTATCCCGGCAGGATAAATGCAAAAATCTCTATGGAATAAAAATAAACTTAAGGATAACTGGCAAATTAATTTGCTTTTTTCTTTTGAAAATGTGTATTTCAGAATTATTTCATGTACTTACAGATCATGGCAGAACTCACCATGAGCTTTAATTCAGTCTTTTTCATGCATAATTGCTTTTAATGACCTAATTTACCATCATCCTTACCGCATATACAATAAACAAGAAGACAGACAAGGCAACCCAGCCTATGGCAACCGCGCACCTCCTATTGTAATTCAGAGTCTTTAAAAACATTCAGACCAGTAAGATGTTTTTTGAAGAACATAGCTGATAGTAGTGTCAAGACTACATGAAATGTTGTGAATTTGTTCTCTGAATCTTTCTCCTCAGATTTTGAATCCACTTGTTTCCAAGGCACAACTTTCCCAGACAGTCCAGTCTCGCTTAGTTAGTTGTAAAATCTTAGGAAAATTGACTAACAAATTTGATGCCCATACGTGAGTATCTGTATTAACTTTTTGTCTACTTCATTACATTAAATTGATTAAAATGAGTAATAACTGTGTGACTAACAATTACATTAGATTTGTATTATTCCACACTGCCTACCAATTTAGAATTCTTGGAGGTCTGCTTATTCAGATGTTTTTCTTCTTGATCTCATGGCTTTTCAAAACCAATAAGGTTAACTGTTCTTCTCTTTCCCATCTTAATCTCTCCTGTCATATACCTAGTGTAGTGCTGAGGTTAAATGGCATTCCTGTATAGACTTGGAAACTTGGTAAATATGACAGAAAGATAGACTTTCTCTTTTCTTCCATTATTGTTTCAAATCCATTATTTTGAACAATGCATCTTATTTTTGAGGTTCTATAGAGAATGTTTAAGATTTGTATGCTATCCTCTGCCCAAGTGATAAATGCCAAATGGAAAGATGCAATGGTGTATAATTATGGCACAAGAATAAAATGTAAAATTGAAGAATATTTTGGTTGATGGTTGCTAGAATTAGTCTACTTGCCTACAGCTTTTTATATTAGCTAAATATTTAACTGTCAATCCAAAATTAAGCATTATTTTCCTTAAAATTAAAAAAAGATTTAATGTATTTATTGTTAGAGAGGGAGAGAGGGAGGGAGGGAGGAAGAGATGGAGAGAAACATCATTGTCTGAGAGATGCATCAACCAGGCCCATAACCCAGGCATGTGTCCTGACTGGGAATTGAACCAGTGACCTTTTGGTTTGCAGGCCAGCACTCAATCCACCGAGCCCACTGTAGCCAGGGCCAAAATTAACCATTACTTTAAAAACACTCAGTGATATACATAATTTACAAGTAGCTGATAACATACAAATGTCATCACTTATGTAAAAATATGCTGGAAGATATAAAGCTTTATCTTAAAGTAAATTTGTTATTAGGCTAAGATTTTGATAATAGTTGTTTGAAAATATTAATTATTCTAAAACACTCACCCATTTGCATGTTCCTTTCCTCCCTTCTAAGCATTAAAAGAGAAATACTTCCCTTGGTGAAATCACTCTGTCAAGATGTAGAATATGAAGTTCGATCTTGTATGTGTCGGCAATTAGAAAATATAGCTCAGGGCATTGGGTAAGTATACTTTCAGTTTCTTATGTCCTATTCTTATTTCTGGAGAGTCAGACATGGAAACATGCTATTAAAAGGCTAAACTTTCTATTATCTCTAAGAATGTTTATAACAAGTATCTCCTGATGAGTCTGTTTTGAAAGAAACAAAAGTGAAAATGCTTAGCAATGTGATAGGCATTCAATCAATGTTCATTTCTTTCCTTCTCACCCTAAGTTACTTACTTATAATTCCAAATGCCTAAATCTAGGGAGGGAAAAGGCGCCAGTATAAACTGTGTGTGCACTTGTGCTTACGAATAATCAGTTCCCTGGTTTTGATCTGAGAACCAACCTTTTATGTTTGGTCTTCTAAGTCTAGGTTGACTCGGGGTCATTGTGAGCCATAGTTAATTCAGTTTTGCCCAGATCTGTGCTTTTTCACCAGGATCGAAACTAGTTAAGAGAATAGACTGTTGTTGTTGGGGTTTTTTGTTTTCTAGTTTTTTGTCACCTGATATTTTGCTGCTGTTAATATTGGACAGGTCATTGTGTGTTCAAATTAGTGTTCTGGAAATTAATTTAGGATTATTGCTCAAGGATTAATTTATAAAAGCAAAACTAGAAAGAATCTACTTACATAGAGAGCTTTGAGTAGTGTCTGGCACCTCGTAACATTAGCTAAGTATTTACTTCTATTATTATTTCATAAATACTGACATGACAACTAATTTCATAGACTTATCTGTAAAACTGGAATAATATAGGTAAAAAACAAGCAAAAATTTTGTATATTTTGTATAACTCAAAAAGACTAAGTTTATACAAATCCCAGTAGGACATGAAAATGGTTCCTACACCTTTACCAACAATGCAGAATTATCAACTTTTCCAATTCCATTGTCAAAAGTAGCATTTCACTATCAGTTTTGCAAATATAGTATTCAATAACCATCTACTTGACTGTATCTCTTTCTGAACTTGAAGCACCTGGAAGACAGGATGATATCTTTTTTTATTGTTAACACACACATATGTAATCCAGTGCTTATGTAAGGCCATTGCTCATGCATATTCAGTAAGTGAATATACTTCTCTGACAACTATAGCTGAGTGATGTTTTTCAGGAAGTAGTGTGTTATGAGAGTATCTTTCTCTTGCCTTCACATGTAAATTCTATCCTGGCTGGGGCAGAATTCTAGATTTTAATCCTTTCTACTAGAACCCCATCTCTCATTTAAGTATATGCAACAGAAATCTGAGGACATTCTGATCCTGTTACCTCTGAAGAAGTCCAGTTTTATCAGTGTACGTGCTAGGAGTTACAACCTAACCCTGCAAGATGTCATAAGGGAGTAGGATGTGGGGTCAGGGATAACCAGGCGGGTGAAACACAAAAGCATGCCCAGAGGGCCATCCAGGAATTCTGGGGTCTGGCTGAGTGATACAAGTCTCCCCAGGTGCTGGCCATGGATTCGTTGTCATCTGAGGGTCCGCTGTCTGCTCCAGCTGAAATGCTGATGAAGCTGATCCTGTGTTTTAGGTGGGCCAGTATAGCAGAAGAGCACCAGCATTTCAAGAAACCTCATTTGTTTGTGCCTTTTCTGTCGGCCTGTTCTAAGGAGACTGGGCCTGCAGAAATACCGGGGACCCAGTTATCTCCATCTTTCTTTTCACGAGATAAAGTTGCCTCCGGTGTTCTTACTCAAGCCTCTCCTACGTAGTTCCCTTTCATCAGCAGCCTTCCAATCTGACAGAAGACAAAAGCATGGACCGGGGACAAGAACCAGCCATTGGCCCCGTCATATCTAAATTCTGCAACCTGTCCCAGCAAAGACAATCATGGACCTGCTGTGCTCAAGTTGCTTAAGTGGAAAACTGTATTATAATTTGTAGTTTAATATAAACCAGTTTTAAGATCTCTGTAGGTAGTGATATTATGTCAGGGGAACCAAAATTGATTTAAATAATTTTGCATTTACTATTAATGTTTCTTGTGTTTGTGTCAAGCTTTCCCAATCAGACTATAGGTATCCATAAAGCAGGTTAAGCTTTCCCAACCAGACAGCAGGAGCCATATCTTCATGACTTTTCCTTTTCTCTACAACATTAACCCAGTGACTTGTTTTCGTTAAGTTCTTCTACGAATTCTTTCATTCGCCTTATTTTCCCCATTGCTTGTTATTGTGCAGGACAGACCTGACAAAAAGCGTGGTGCTCCCTGAACTGATAGAACTCTCTAGGGACGAAGGCTGCAGTGTGCGTCTTGCAGCGTTTGAGACTTTGGTTAATCTGCTTGACGTGTTCGATACAGGTAACCTTCCCCTGGACACATCTTTGCTTCTGTATGGCTAGTAAAGAGTAAAGGTGGATGCAGGACAGAATTTCTTAGGTTTCATGATGGTTGTTAAAGTTCCCGTCCCATCTCTCTTTTGATTTGTCCTTCATCTCTGCTGCCCCCTTTACCCTCACAACACCCACCATTGCTCCTTGTCCCACACCTCTCTTCTCTCATCACTGTTTAACTGGGTTGTATGTAGGACTAGGAATTTAGCTTGGGCATTAGTATTTTGTTTACTCAGCTAATCGACCCTAAGAAAGATCTTGATGAAAGCAATATTTAAATTAGTGTCCTTTCTTTAATATTTTAATGCTAGAAATCTCATGGCCCACAGGAGGAGATACTTGGGATGGGGTGTTTAAATGGGAATGGGTAAGGAGGTATTTCAGTGTCAAGCAGATTAAATCTTGAGGGCAATAAGCTTCTCTCCTGAGTGTATGACTAGGCACTTGATTAATGCTGGACTTTAGGTTTTTTTTTTTTAATATTTTATTTATTTTCAGAGAGAGAGGAAGGGAAGGAGAAAGAGAAGGAGAGAAACATCAATGTATGGTTGCCTCTCATGTGTCCCCTACTGGGAACTGGCCTGCAACCCAGGCATGTGCCCTGACTGGGAATCAAACCACGATCGCATAGTTCGCAGGCCCGCGCTCAATCCACTGAGCTACGCCAGCCAGGGCTGGACTTTAGTTTTTCAGTAAAGATTAACCATATCAATAGGATGGAATTTGGAGGGCTAAATGTCCAGTACTCAGGTGGGAATTTCTGTTGTGTAATTGTAGGATTGCATTTACTTGGGTTAACAAAATTTTATCTGAACCATGAGAGCCTCTTACAGATTATTGCAATGTGGGCAATAGTTATGTGTGAATGTTATGGAATAATCATTTAGGTGGTGCCATGAGCCAATGCTGTAACAACCTGTAATGCACCTGAATGACTGAATAAGTGAGTCTCCCTGGTCTAATGATGGGGCACCCCCAGGCATCTGGACTAGAAACTTGGTGTCATCTTTGATCTTCCCTTCTCTGCCCTGCGCCTGGTTATCTGCAGTTTGGGCCTAACCCGTATTCATGGCTTTACTGCCTCCCATTCCTTCTCACCCCGTGGTCCCTGATGCTCCGGCCCACTTGCCATCACCTCGACACCCCGAGTTCTTTCACACCTTCAGCCTTCCCACATGCTCTCTCTCTTCCTACTTTCCCCCCCTCCCTTCTGTTTTTCTCCTAGCCTACCTTTTCTTTTTCAGTGTCCAGTTTTAATATATTTTCCTCTCTGACATCTTTTCAAATCCTTTATACCAGTGTTGGCGAATGATGGCCTGTTGGTCAAGTCCCGCTGCCACCTGGTTTTGTAAGTGAAGTTTCATAGAACAGCCATATACCCTCTTGTTGATGTGCGGTCTGTAGCTGTTTGTTTGCTACAGTGACAGAGTTGAGTAGTTTTGTCAGATAAACTGCAAAGCCTAGGAAGTTTACAAAGAGGGAAACTGATCACATTGCTTTATGGTATTTTTTATTCCTGGCTTCTTTTCTGCTCTGAGTTTCTCAAGTTCAGTGATCATTTGTGATTCATCTTTCTACTTAATATGTTTGTTCTAAGAATGTCATTTAGTTAAAACAGATGTGGTTCTGAAATGTGATTAAAATAACGGTAATAACAATAATACTGATAAGCCTCTTAATAATAAGAATAATAATAGGGAATAATAATAATGGTAATAACTAATAATACTAATAAGCCTCAATAATACTACAACACTCTATTTAGTATTGTCACATCCTTAATAAAACAGTGATTTACTTCTGAAAGTTTAAGCGAACCGTAGGAAATTCAGAGAGTGTATTTGGAATCAAGACAAATATTACTAACATATCAGAAACTTCTGACTTAAGCAGACACACTTAAAAATTGATTACGGAGTTATTTAAGAAGTAAAAGTAAAGACATTCACTGTGTAGAACATATTATAAACTAACTTAATTTCAGTTAACAAGCTGCAGAATGGTAGGAGATGGATGCAAGAGAGAGTAAGAAGAGTTTTCTGTGCCGGTTCCTCATCTATTGATATCAGTGGTGTTCGATTTCTTTCCGTTATTCAGACTCAAAACCTCAGTCATCTTAGCTTTTTTTTTTGTCTTTTAAAGATTTTCCAATTGACACTATTACAGTTGTCCCTTATTTTCCCCCTTTCCCCCCTCCACCAAGCCCTTGTCCCCACTTCCTTCTGCGGCCTTCTCCACATTGTTGTCTGTGGCCATGGGCTGTGCACATGTGCGTGTATGTTCTCTGGCTAATCTCTTCTAGACTCCCCCGCCCTCCCCTCTCTGAGATCTGTCCGTCTGTTTTCCGTGTAATCATGCCTCTGGTTTTATTTTGTTTGTCGGTTTAGTTTGTTCATTAGATTCCACACATGAGTGAGATTATATGGTATTTGTCTTTCTCTGACTGGCTTAGTTGCTTACATAATGTTCTCCAGGTCCATCCACGCTGTTGCAAAGGGTGGGGGCTCCTGCTTTTTTACGGCTGTGTAGAATTCCCTTGTGTGAATGCACCACAGCTTCTTTATCTAGTCATCTCCTGATGGGCACTTGGGCTGTGTCCCTACCTTGGCTGTTGTAAATAACTCGGCTATGAACACGGGTGCGTATGTTCTCGTTAATTTGTAATCACTTTATGTGCCCTATGTTATCTATGCCCCACAATGTAAAGCCCAACCTCTTCAACCTGGTATTAAAGTTTTTGATTATTTCAACTCTCTTCTGACCCCTTCTTCATTAGACACCTCCATCATCATTGTTTTCAGGTATTTCCTATTACTGGGTGGCTAACATCTTAATAGTTCTTTCTGGAATTTGTGGATCTGTGTTTTAAGTGTGTAGTGTGGACAATGGATCTAAAGTGTGTTTTATTTTATTTTTTTCCAGATGACAGAAGTCAAACTATACTTCCCTTAGTGAAATCATTTTGTGAAAAATCTTTCAAAGCTGATGAATCAATTCTTGTTTCCTTATCTTTCCACTTAGGAAAGCTATGCCACGGACTATATGGTATGATGTATCCTGAGAATTTCAAGATTATGGATAATTTTTCCCTTTTTTTCCTACCTTAGTCACTAAACTTCAGCTATTCAGTTATAATACCTATCCTTTAAGTGTGTAAAATCTTAAGAGATCTTAGAAATTTGGTAGGATAATTTAGGAAAACATTTAGGGATGACTTTTTCCCTAATAGAAGCTATTTGAAAGAACAATGACAGAGTGAAGTAGGGTAACCCTTTAAATTTCTGAATATTTTATGTGTTAGTTGATATATAATAAAAGCAGCTCAGATATATTAACTGTTGGTACATAGTAAGAATACCCTTATTAATTATTTGTTGAATAATATATAACATGAGAAGTTCAGCTTAGAATGTAGAATAACACCCATAACTCTTGGCATGTTGAATATATTGCTCAGTTCTTAGCTTACTGTAATCATGTAAGCATCAATTAAGTCACAGCCATCTAGCATAGTAAAATATTTTTATGTGGGTTGTAGACTTTTAATGGGTGATTGAAAAGTATATTGGAATTCATAATGAGTTCCTAGCTCCCTAAGATAGTTAATGAATATGGAACCAATCTGTTGATCACAAAAAATATTTTGAGTTTACTTTGCCATCTTTCAGATTTAATTTTTAAGCTCCCCTAAGACACATACGCATGTGTTTTCTGCCCGCACTTTAGAATATTTACCATAAGTAAATGCAGTAACGGCCACACTGTTGTTGTACTGACTTGTTAGGGCCGCAGTGTGGCCTATGCTGCAGGAACTAGTGCAGGTGTGGTTCCCGCATTGCGTGGTTTGTGCTGTTAAAACGAACCTCAGGTGAAGCAGCAGGACCTTGAGATTTCCTATAGTGGTCACTCTTTCCTCCTTGTTGCTGTTAGTTATGAACTCTAACCATTTATTTAAATATTTGGTTCGATATGTGTTTTTATTGTGCTCTGCTTTTATCTTTTTAATTTTTGTTTTCAATTAAAATGTTGAACAAATGTTTTAAATTTTTCCAGGGATTTTTACTCCAGATCAACACTTGAGATTTTTGGAGTTTTATAAGAAACTTTGTACATTAGGTTTGCAACAAGAAAATGGACACAGTGAAAACCAGATTCCACCCCAAATCCTAGAGCAGGAGAAGAAATATATTTCAGTGCGGAAGAACTGCGCTTACAACTTTCCGGTAATAAATGATATATTTGTATTGATTAAACATTTTGGTTATTAAAATTATGTGGATAGCATTAAAAATATTGCCATATTTGATACTTGCTATTTAGCATTATGTCTGGAACATACAGTAGGTACCTAGTAAATATTGGTGTAATTTATGTTGACTTCTATCTATAAATTGGAATCATGTGCATCTATTTGGTTCTTCCTAATATGATTTCTAACTAAATTATGATTCAGAGGATGTGATTTCAACTCGAGTGAGAGGATTATAGTATTAGGAATTGGTGCATGTTTTTCCCTCCTTCCCACTCACCTTCTCCCTCCCACCTCCACCAGGCCATGATTGTTTTTGTCGATCCTAAAAACTTCCACATGGAACTCTATTCTACATTCTTCTGTCTTTGTCATGACCCTGAAGTACCAGTCAGATACACTATCGCCATTTGCTTCTATGAGGTAAGTCTGAAGAAGTGATACATTTGTTGTTAATTCTATCTGTGTGCACTCGGTGGTTATCTGGTATTTTGTGCACTTTCATTTACAGATGTGTTGGAAAATATAGGCTCTGTATCTCTTTCACATTCTAGTCCTAAGTCTTATTTTAAAATTTTCTTCTTAGAATGTTTGTGGAATTCATTTATATAAACATTATATTTTTATCATATATGAATCCATTCATTCAGTATATGAGTATTTACACCAAGCGCTTACTTTAAGCTCACATTGTGGTATAGATATGGGTTTTGCAGAGTTGGAAATAAAATCAGTTTTTATATGCTTTATAGTATTTCCATTTAACTTTGTACCTAAATTTAAGATAAACTTGAGAACATGTGGAAAATTGAGAGAGTAACTATTTACATTTATTGTTTTTACTGCAAATATATCATGTTTCATGAATATAACTTTACATTCAGCTGTTATAACAACTCTCCATAATATGAGAGCAAAAGTGAATTGAAACTTTTCTGATGGCTCTAACTAATTTTTTAACTACCCAGCTTGAAATTTGGGGCGTGTTTCTGGAGTGAGTGCCGTGAGTGCGTGCGTGCTGCGGCTGCACTGAACACGTGTGGAAGATGACTTGTCCACTTTATAGTTGTCACATGAAAATCTCTTCATGAGGCATAATGAATTATTTTCTTTCTTTGTAAGAGGTATAATACATTGTCTTATCTTCAGTGTGAATACCTCATGCCCTTCCTTGCACCTTGTTCCTACAGCAAAGCATTGTTACATTAACTTCTTTTGAATAGCATTTTTTTCTGATACGAATGAAATAAATGTTCATTGTGCAAAATCTAGGAAATACTTCCTTTAAATTGCATAATTAACTAAGGTGATTTCGCTGTTGCACAGTTAAATCATCTTTGTAAATATACATCCAGAAATACACTTTTGGAGGAGGAGAGACAGCAGAGGGAACAGCCCAGCTGAGTGAAATATTGTCTCTAATATGCACTTAGTGGGTATTTAGGTGTGGTTACCATGCATGCATGGATTTTTCTAGTGGTTTCCAGAGATGATGGCATGAAATTAGAGTCTGAGAATGCAATATTTATGTAATATGAGAGTTTCTGATTATTTTTATCTCATTCCCTTAATATTTCATTTTATTTATGTTTTAAAGTAGACATAATATGTTAACACCATAAAAATAAATATGTGGAAATGTGTACACAAAGATATTTCACTGATAGAAATGAGTTTGGAAATTATTGGTATGGTTATTTGCTGGGTAGCTAGTTTCCCTATTCTCCCAAATCATACCAAGTAAGTAGGCTAATAGTGATATTCTCATCTATACTGGTGGATTTAAGTTTTCCTAATAGTATTATTCCTAGGTTCTGTTGATTACTTTAGTATGCTTTGACTTTGTTCTTGTGTTTATTTCAAAAATATTTTTGACAAGCCAAGAGCAACCCTACAGAGCAAAGGTTTTAAAACCCTTTTTTAATCAGGAACCCTTTTTTTGAAATTAAACTTTATTCAGAAGCCCAATATGTAAAAATAAACAGACATAAATAAATAAGTAAGTAAGTGCAAACCAGTGTATCTACCACTGTGTTTGTCTGGAGGGAAAAAAAAATACCTGTTCACAAAGGAGCGGGATTAGTCTAAACTCTCTCAACTCCTTTCATGCTGATTGCGACCTTTTTTTATTTTTAAAAGATTTTATTTATTTACTTTTTTTAAGAGAGAGCAGTAGGAAGCAGAAAGAGAAGTAGAAAAACATCAATGTGCAAGGGCTACATTGATCAGTTGCCTCTCACACACCCCAGCCGGCAACTTTTTGGTTCTCAGGCCAGTGCTCAGTCCACTGAGCCACAGCAGCCAGGGCTGACTGTAGTCTTTGACGGGAAAAGCCTCCCATATTGTGCTTGCTTAGGCGTTCTCTCTATTCCTGTCACCGTAGGCCTTTGGTAGAACCTGCCTCTTTCAGAAGCTCTGGGCAGGGATGAATGCTCACAGCCTGAGATACCCTGTCATGCCTCAGCGGCTGCTCTCAGCCTTCCCACTACAAGCTCAGGCATCTGCAGGCTTGTGATTGCTTGTGGTACAGAAGTTCTGATTGACGAATTCTTTCTTTGCGCTATCCGTGCCGTGTGTTCACTTCCTCTCCCTCATATTTATACACAACTCAGCATGCTATGAAGCAAACTGAAAAGCTTGTTATGTATGCAAGTAATTTTTTTAGGAATCTAATTTTATGTTTATGATTTAACCTGACCTTGTTTTAGAAGCGGTAATTAATAGGAGCGTATTTTTAAAAGTTATTATAACCTTTGTATGTCTACTAGTCTTCAAATCTGAGAGACTTTATTACTACATTTTAGGTGTCTAAACTTCTGAATTCTGGCGTATATTTAATACATAAAGAATTAATAACATTATTACAAGATGAATCACTGGAGGTAATATCTTCTTACTGTTTGGTTTTTACTTCTTTCATGTTAAATCTGAGTACCCCACTCCCCCCCTGCACCCCTGCCACTTCTGGGGAATTGCATGAACTCTTTCAGCTGACCAGCCCCAGAAGCTTTAAGTCAGTGTACCATTGTATCACAGACTGAAGCTGGAAAGGCCTTTTAAAAAGATGAGGTTTAAAGATATATTTAGTTTTAAAATATATATGCGTATTTGTTCAGGAATTTTGGAAATGCCAAAAATAGACATTTAAAAGAGTAAGTATCTTTAGTGCTGATCACTGTTATTGTTTTATTATATTTTGTTCATTTTCTATTTTTTCTATATAAAGATTTTTATTGTACACAATTGTAATAATATGTTATGCTACATTTTACATATTTTTTTTCTTAGTGTTGTTTGGGGAGTGTACTCCCCAAAACATGTCAGGCTTTGAAACATGTGAAGGCTTTTAAATACTTAATTTTGATGCCATAGTTAGTGTATTCTAGTCACCTAAATGACTAGTTTGCTCAAGTACAACTATCAGCACTTGGACATCACTGAGGGTGTTGTCTGGCTCATACTCTGCGTTGTAAAAGAGTTTGAATGTGTTGGTTGTGCAGGAGTAGTTATCTCAGATCTAGATTCTATGATCAATATCATGAGGCAGGTACCTTAATCTCTTTTGATAGTCTGAGAGTTTGATAGTTTGATAGGGGTAGGTACTTTGACCAGGGCAATTGATCATGTTTCTAAGACCCTCCAGCAAGAGAATGTAAGAAAACAGAAACCTCCAAAATGTTGTTTAGTAAATAACACTGTTTCTGTGTAGGAGCTGACATGTGAAGTTAACTAATCTAAGATTAAACAAACATTATAATTGTCATAAGAGTAATCAGTATCTCTATTAAAAGGTACTAGATGCTCTTATAGACCATCTTCCCGAAATTCTGGAACTTATGTGTGCCGGTGGAGAAAGCAATATTCAAGAAAATAAGGTAAATCCCAAGTATCAAAAAGTTTCTGAATGTTGTAAAACATTGCCTTTCCTCTACAGAGTTGCTGTGGGGAATCAGTGAAAGGCCGATGGGAAACATTTAAAAGCATGGTTGCCACATAGTAGGTGCTCAGTAAATGACTGTTGGAGTTTGAACAGTTTGAATTTCCTCTGCAGTCTCACTCTACCATGACTCTTACTCATTGTCCTTGGAGCTTACATTATTATTTTCCGTTTTTATTCACATTAATTATTATTTCAAGAATAACAACTGATGAGGGCAAAAGGGTAGGAATTTAGAAGGTCAAAGTTTGCTGACAGTGAGATAGAATAGATTTTACTTTAATTAGAAGGGTTATGAGAGTCCCAGTCTCTATTTCAAAATTTTGTTTCCACTAGTTAATAAATTTTACTCACAGATTTTTAAAAAGTATTTGATTTAATCACATTTTTATCTCTCTGTGACAACTGAGATGCCCCCTGAGTGAACGAGAGCATTTCCTTCCCATATGTATTGTCAGCTGAATAATTTGACTGAACCCTGCAGTTGATGTATTTCTCTCCCTGATTCTTTTGGTGTGTTTTCTTTTCCAGTTATCCTCTCTGCCTGACTTGATTCCAGCACTCACAACCGCTGAGCAGCGAGCTGCAGCCTCTTTAAAATGGAGAACTCATGAGAAGCTGCTCCAGAAATACGCCTGTCTGCCACACGTCATATCAAGTGATCAGATTTATTACCGTTTCTTACAAAGAATGTTCACGATCATGATGACAAACGTGAGCCCAAACCCTTTGATCTTGTTCTTTGGAACTCACACCTCAGTTTGGAGTTACCACCACATTTTTTATGTTCTTGAACTCCTACAACAAACTGAGTTCACTCCATTCTGCCCAGAAGGATGTTTTCTTCCCATGTTCCTGGAAGGGAACTCACGTTTCCCTTTGCTTCTCCCCTGGTTTTCCCTTTGATCATCCTCTACCTGGAGGGAGGGAGGAATGAACGGGTGGCGCCTGCACTTGCCCCAGACTCACCTTGCACTTGACACAGCTCTTCTGGGGCGGGGGGGCACTCATGGGAGGTCAAGGTCCCCACCACAAAGTGTGCCTTCTGCTGTGATGCTCACCGACTATGTGCTGTGGCCCCAGGGCCAGCTTCAATTTTGCCGCTTTGCCAGGGCATGCCATAGTCCCCAGAACACTAGTTTGGTCACTTTTAAAAATAGTTCCTAACGAGTGGCTCTGTAATGGATAAAGTTTATACTAAAGACATGGGGGCCCCACTAGGGATAACTTTAAAATTAGAATCAAAAGCAGTGGTGGGTGGTGGAAGAGCTATACTCAAACTTTCCCACAGAGTAAATTGTCTCCCTTGCTCACGAGAATCCCCAGAGGGGAATTATTTAACCTACGGTTCACTGTACGTTTAACATGGTGTCCTGGTGTCCTACTGCCATTTTTTTGAAGCAGAAGAACTTCCACATTATGTGTGCATTTTAGAAACTGTTAAAAAAGGTACTTTAAATTATCACTGTTCTCATTAAAAAAGGAGAGATGAAATCTAGCAGCCATCTCAAAAACCCCAATTGGTTTTAGTTTCAAATGTTAAAAAGACAGACCTTGGCTAGTGTAGCTCAGTGGATTGAGCGTGGGAGGATGGAGGTTCGATTCCCAGTCAGGGCACATGCCTGGGTTGCAGGCCAGTTCCCAGCAGGGGACGCACAAGAGACAACCATACATTGATGTTTCTCTCCCTCTCCCCTCCCCCTCTAAAGATAAATAAATAAAATCTTAAAAAAAAAGACAGATTGAGCGCGGGCCTACAAACCAGGGGATCTTGGTTCCATTCCCAGTCAGGGCTCATGCCTGGGTTGCAGGCCAGTTCCCAGCAGGGGATGCACAAGAGACAACCATACATTGATGTTTCTCTCCCTCTCCCCTCCCCCTCTAAAGATAAATAAATGAAAAAAAATCTTTAAAAAAAAGGGATGACTTCATTCTTTTCCCCTACTGATTTTTAGAGCTAGGAGTTAGTGAAGTCACTTTCTATATGACAGATGGATTTTATTTTTGGTTTTGTCTTTTTGACTTATTTTTTATATTGAGTGATATTTTAATCAATTGCAGCCTCCCTTTGCGTACTCAGAGTGTCCCAGCATCTTCAAGCTGACTTTTACGTGCTTTTGAGATGATTGAATTTATCTTGATTTTTGGCCCAGAAGATAATTTACTTTTTATAACATTGTACATACTATAAGATACAAAATATATGCATTTTCATATGACTGGTATATATTTGAAATTCTATTGTATACACTTTAAAATGAAATAATAGAACACCATGCTTTTATCCAAAATTCGTTTTTTAAAATTCCAGTAGTATTTCAGTTTATATTATTTCTTAAATTTCCTGTGCTTACTTGTAGAGAACATTTTCTTTTGACATTTAGTATATTAAAAAACACCACACAGAATAGTACTCCACACAATGGAAATAGCTTGTGTAAAATAATGAGATGAGGGAGCAGGCAGTATTCTCTCAGCAATAATGTAAAGTCTTATTCTACTTGAGTTTTCAAAGTTCCCCATTGTAACAATCTGAATCTTCAAGAATTGAGTATTATAATATGTATGCGTAAGTCAAGATGGTGAACATGGACTTACACTGGACACAGCAGTATATCTGGTTAAGAATTTTCTCTAATAAATACCTTGAATCCAAACCCAGTAGAGATGGGTGGTTGAATTCATTTAGAATTAAAGTTGTTCCCATTGGTGTGACAGAAATTCAAAGAACATTAGTGTTTCAAACACTGTAATGGTGTCCTGACATGGACTGACACAGTGTCCTTTGATTCTAAGCTTTACCTGTGTCATGGACTGGGAACCTCAGGTTGAAGAGCTAGGAGTGAACTAAAAGGATTGAGGACCATACCAGACTGTGGCATCTCTAAATTTATACTTTGAAAGTGGCACATTTGTGGTGACGTACTTGGTGCAGGGAGGGCTCTAGCAAAGGCTTGTTCAATAAGCGAGTGACAAGGTCCAGGGACTAGCTAAGAGAGTGGGTGGCTAAGGTGTATTTGGGGAGACTGTCATTTAAGATGAAGTGGCAAGGAAATGACAGTTAAATGTAAATCAAGTCTGAGTGATTTAAATGACTGTGCCAGATTAAAATAACTTTGTAATGTGATGTATTAGTTGATTTTCCTGAATTGTATTAACATTAAATTATGAAAACACTTCCAGAGAGACAGAAGCACCGTGATCTGAGAAGCAGATAACACTGCTTTTATTTTACTCAATAACCTAGATTTGTGCGGCCAAATTATTCAGACTGTATACTAACTGACTAGTTTAACTGCCTTTCTTATTTCCTTAAGAATGTCTTACCTGTCCAGAAGGCAGCTTCACGAACTCTGTGCATTTTTCTGCGCTATAATCGTAAACAAGAACAGAGACATGAGGTCATTCAGAAATTAATCGAACGTAAGTAACTCTTATCTCTTACTTTGAAACAAAGAAGTAAACACGGTGGTTAGCCTCAGTTATATCATTTGCTATGAATAATTAGGCTGCTGTTGGTAAATACCCAGAGAGTGTTTGGATTTGAGTTTTATAGGTTAATTTTTGGGTTTGTTTTAGAAATCTTATGATAGGATTAGATCTATGATGAGTGAAAGTAATAACTACTCTTGGCCTTTTTTGGGGTGAATTTCTACACTTGAGAAATTAAAATACATGTATCTCTGTTGGAAGCCTAGTTTTTCCCCTAATGAAATAGAATTTGGAACTAAAATATAAGCAGAATATCCAGGAATCTAAGCATGTATTTATGTTTCTATTTTAAATATTAACAGTGAGGTTTTATTTTTTTCTTGAATAGAGTTGATAGTACACATAAATGTGAATCTGGTGAGCCTAGGTACTTTGTAATGTCTTTTTTTAAATCCTCAACAGAAGATATGTTGTTATTGCTAAGAGAGAGAGAGAGAGAGAGAGAAATCAATGTGAGAAACATTGATTGATTACTTCCTGGGAATCAAACCTGCAACCTTTTGGTCTATGGGATAACACTCTAACCAACTGAGCCACCTGGCCAGGGCTATGTCTTAATGTCTTTTTAAAAATTAAGTCCATTAACTAATGCAATCTTATTTTGATTTGCTAAGGATCAAAATGAAGACAAAAACTTTTAGCGAAAGTGGTAATTCTAAATTAGTGGCCTATAACTATATCTACTTGCTTTGGCCAAAATGTCTTAAGCTTTTGTTAAACTGTTACCCAGCATAAATGGGTAATGGGGTTTTCTGGTTATTGGAGTTTACCAGTTTAAGTATGGACTGCTGCTTTTCAAAAAAAATGAGAGTATGTAAAATTTTATTTAAGAACAATTCTACTTAGTGTACTTTAATCTTTGTTTTTTAGTCTTTTAAAATTAAATTTTTATTTTTAATGGTAAGGTCTTACATTTATTTATATTTCTTAGACTTTATTGATTTATTTTTAGAGAGGAAAAGGGAGGGAGAAGGAGAGGGAGAGAAACATGGATGTGTGGTTTCCTCTTGTGCACCCCCTACTGGGAACCTGGCCTGCAACACAGGCATGTGCCCTGACTGGGAGTCAAACCAGCCGCCCTTTGGTTTGCAGACTGGCACTCAATCCAGTGAGCCACATCAGCCAGGGCTGACCTTACATTTAAAATATTTTGTTTTGAATGAAGATTTTACTTCGTTATAAATATGAAGAATTTTGCTTTGGAACATTTATATAATAAGGGAGAAAATTATCTTCTCAGTATGATCTATATTATTTTAATAATTCTGTATTAATATATGACTGTCCACTTCAAGGCATTTTTAAAGGAAACAAGAGGAAGAAAGTTAATTTGATTGCTAAAAGATTTTGAAGTTATACGACTACCTTATTTTGTTGTGTATGATGTACACTTTTTTGTCCAAATTTTTAAGGGAAAAATAAGGATGTGCATTATACATGGGTGTAATGATTACATGCCATGCGTATAATGATCCCGTGTATAAAGCACACAAAAATGTGGGTGCACATTATACACCGCAAAATACAGTCCATATCTGCGTTTGAGTTCTAGCTCTGCATTTACCTGCTCTGTGACTTTAATGTCTCTGAATTTCAGCACACCTTATCTTTCAGGAGGGAAAATTATGTGCTTATCCCATTGTATTGCATGAGTCCTTAGCACATAGTTGCTGATCGAAAGTAGTAAATATAGTCATTCAATTTTACTAAATGCTAATGGAATTGAATGCAATGTTTAATATTTTTTCCCTGTTTTCTGAGGTATCATTAATTTGGGGGGTCTACAAACCTGAGGTAATACAATACAGTTTTTTGCTTATCTCTTGTATTTGCTAAACAATTATGGGGTATAAAGAAACAGCATGGATTATATGTCTGATTCTGCCATGTACTTTCATGAAAGAAAAGTTAAATTTATGATAAATTTTGTTTGTTGTTTCTAGAACTGGGCCAAGGAAAAAGTTATTGGAATAGACTTCGATTTTTGGATACCTGTGAATTTATTATAGAAATCTTTTCCAAATCATTTTTCTGTAAATATTTCTTTCTACCTGCTATTGAACTGATACATGATCCAGTAGCAAATGTGAGGTATGGTTACCAATCTAAGAAAATATTTGAAAAAATGACATTTTACTGTATCTGCTACAATGAATATATGCAAAATCTTTTTCTTAGTCAATTAAAAAATCAAGTAAAGAACTTATATTTGCTTTGAAACTCTCGGTAGTCTTAATTGCTGAGCTTCAGTTGGACTTTGAAGCACAATTTTTAACACTGTCTTGAGTCTTATTTATTGGGTCGAGAGAGCAGTCAGTCAGGGCCAGAGTGGCAGCCTTCTCTGGCCACTTGGTCACACACATAGGCTTTAAGAAATGATTCAGCAGATATGCTTAATTTATTTATCTTCTAAGACAAAGAAAAAGTAGTTCAGAATTGAATTGGAGAGAATCTGTTTATTTTTACTGCCCCGTTTATTCATAGAAATATGGCTGCTTTAAAGTCTTTTTCTTGCCTTTCACATTGTTTCCCAATGTCTTACGTTTTTGAAGTCCATTGGATGTTAATTTCAATTGGCTAACATACTGTTCGATTAGATGGAGCAGGCCTGAAAATGGCTTGCTTGGAAATTGGGGGGAAAAATAAATATATTTTGCCTTTTTTTCCTCCCCAAATAAGCATGTTATTTCTTCTTAATTGTGGTGAAAATGCATAACATAAAGTCTACCGATTTAAGAGAATAGTTCAGTGGCATTTACTACATACATACTGTTCTGTGAGACTTATTTGTGCATTGCATCATGAGTAGAAGAGGATTTTAACTGCTTAGACATTACATTTCTGTGTTCTATGCTCATGTCTCTGTTCTGAACTTGAGGACCTCAGGTCTGTGTGTCGGCAGTGCTTTAGAGATGGGCAGATAGAAAAGAGAAGCTGTCATAGGCAAGGCTGGTAGGATCCCACAAGTTTCCTTGCAGGAGAGTTCCTAAAGCCACTGCTGGAGCTGATTTCCAGCTTTCCACTTGCCGTGTGTCTTTGGGCAAGTTGCAGAACTTCCCTGTGCTTCCGAGAAATAAACCAGAGATATTGTACACAAAGAGTTTAGTTTACCAGAAAGGTGTCATTCCTTTATAATTTCAAAATCTTTATAATTTCATGGGCCTAGAATGCTCATAGAGATAAATCATTACTATAGTTTGTATAGCTTCTGCTGAGTATATGTTTTCTAGAACCTGACTTTGGTTATAAAGAATGAAGGGTGCATAGATTGTTGTTTTTGTCTTTTGTTAAGTGAGTGTTTAAAATTTAAATTCACTGAGTCTAGACAATATCAAGGCTGGACAAGTAATACTGGTATTCAAAGAAGCCTTCTCCTGATTTGTGAAAAATGAAAATAATTCTCTTTGGGGGACTGGGACCCCTTAATTAATGCATCAGCAGGCTTGCAGTACCTGTGGTGAGCTCTGAATGAGTTTGAGGCCATTATAGCTATTTGCCGAGCTGAACATTCTAGAGGAGGAGCTGTCCTCTTTTTGGTTGAATAAAAAGCACATTTTGTTGTATGAGAAGAATCCTTCAGTGAAGGCTCAGCTGACGAAGCATCCTCAAGTCTGTAGGCATGGGACTTAGCTGTCACAGGGTTTGGCACAGAAATAAAAATAATGACATCTGGAGAGCACTCAGGTGAATGAATGAAAACAGTGGCCATAAAAAGACAACTGCCTAGTGTCCCTCTTGGAAACCACCAGCTCCAGCAAAGCAGTTGAGTTCGTTTGAGCTTAGCCAAGCAGAACGCTCCTCTGAAGCGCCTTTGCTCAGGAAGGTTTTCTGCTCTTTCCTGCATTTCCTTGCAGTCTTCAGGCTGCTTATTTCTTCCTTATCTCCTCCATCTAGATTGTGACTGTGCCCTAGATTCTGTCCTTTTATCTCCTCTTCTCCAACTGCACCCTGGCTTACAAACCCAGTGTTTGCTGAAGGTTCCCGACTCGGCGCCTCCAGCAGGGACATCCACCCTGAACAGAAGGCTTATTGAGCTGGCCGCCCACTTTGCATTTCTAATAGGCACCTCTGACTTAATTCATCCAGATATGTCCCTGTGTCTTGCTCCTGAGGTCTTCATCTCAGTGAATAACCATTTCATCTTTCCACTTGCTTAGGTCAAAACCTTAATTCCTATCTGTCATTCCACCCCCATCTCTCACACTCAGCGTCCAGCCACTTCTCACCACCTCAACTACTGCCTTCTGGCTCAGGCCACCATTATTATTGCCTGAATTATCAGAAGTTTTCTTTCTTGTGTCTGGACTGCCTGAAGTCTAATCTCAACAAAATAGCCAGATAATACTTTCAAAACATTAAGTCAGATCATTTTACACCCCTGCTCAAACCCTTCATGGCTTCTCATTGCACATAAAATAAAAGCCAGTCTCCCACTACTGCACAGAGATCTGCTGATCTCACCTCTGCCCCCTTCTAGCCACTGTAGTCGATTTGTCGGTTTGGGACCATACCTAGGTTGCCTTCCCTAGGAGGGCATCGGCTCTTACTGCAGCCGCTGCCTGTAATGACCAAACATTGATGAGGCCTATTCCCTCATTTTTTTTTAGGTCTTTGCTTAAATGTCATCTTTTTAGTGAAACCTTCACTGAAAGCCTCTCTCACTGCCTGTTTTAAAATTGTAACTTCCCCTCTTCTAGTATTCCCTCTCCTCTTTCTCCATGTTATTTTCCTTTACAGCACCTACCGCTATCTAACAGTCATTTTACTTAGTTTATTCTCTCGCCCTGCACGTAAGCTCCAGGACAGCACGTAAGCTCCAGGACAGCAGAGGATGTTGTTGCTTTTATTCACCATTGTATCTTAGCATCCAGATTAATAAGTGCTGGACCATAATAGGCATTCCATAAACATTTGCTGCATAATAAATGAACTCTCAGGCTTTCTACAGTTTGAATGTTCTTTCAGTTTTATGTTACTATTGTCAGTTATTAAATCTAAGTCATAATTTACTCAAAAGTAAATAATATTTAATTTATTATAGAATGAAACTTTGCTACTTGTTACCCAAAGTGAAATCTACTCTGAAGATCCCTGCAGATAAGCATCTACTTCAGCAGTTAGAGATGTGTGTGAGGAAACTTCTGTGTCAAGAGAAAGATAAAGATGTCCTGGCTATTATAAAAAGAGTAAGTAACACCCTTGCCACAGCATTTGCATTTCTTGCATTAAGATAGTCTTAATTATATCTTCACTATTCTAGCTTGATGGGCTGGCACTGTGTTAAAATATTTATATCCTTGCTAGAGTAATAAGACTTAGCGACTGATTTGGTTGATGTGTGCTATGGTTGGCTGTGGAAACACCTAGATATTAACTTTTGTTGCTAGTAATACAAACTCCACAAGAGAGAGCTTGGCACCTTTTAGGTGCTCAGTAAACACTGTTCAATTAATAATGAACACTTCGTTATCAGACTTCATTTACAAGCAGTTTACAATCTGGGAACGCTTCATTGGTAAAATTTGGAAAGTCACGTTTGACAGAAGCTTAGCTGTGGAGGGGCCATCTGAGTTCACTCAGCATCTGTTTGACATTAAAGTCTAGACCTAGAAATATTACGTGTCTGCTCAAGGTCATATTAGTAAAGGACAGAAATAAGACTAGAATATAGATCTCTTACCTTAAGTGCAATCATTTTTCAATAGCGTATCATTGGCGTATGTTTTTTGTTTTATTTTGTTTTGTTTTAGTATGTGGTCTTATATGGATTATTTGGGAATGTTGGAAAACTAAAACAATATATATTTGTGAAGTCAAATCTTAGAGTAGTTTAGTCTTCACTAACTTTTTTGCTCAATATATGAGTATAATGAATATTTTTATAAGATTAAGTCAAATTAAAGTGGTTGCTTTTATGAATCTGGATGTGAACTCCGGGACACATAGTCTTTGAGAATTTACTTGTAGTAAGAGAAATTAATTTATTAATGTCTTAAATAACAGCATTTATTTGAGGGGAAAAAAGAATTCTTTGCTTTTTTTCACCTAGAAATCATTGCCAGATGTTACATGAGGAACTTTTTTAATAAAGTGATTAATAGCCTAGTATCAATTAATATAATTTTACTTCACTGAAATGTGAATTCTTCATCAACTAAAATAATCAGAAATACCCAGAGTCTGGACACGCACCTAAATTAAAAAAACACATATATGTATACACACATATACACACATATACACACAGTGGTTTCTACCAGATATTTCTGACCTTGCATTTAATTACAGAAGTTTAGCCAATGAAGTTAAGATGTCAAAATAATACACATGAGAGGGTCAGTTACTTTTCTGAAAGAATTTATTGCCTTGAGATAATATAACCAGATCCCATAAGTAGATACAGAAATGCTGTAATGAAATTAATGGGTTACTAACCTACACTGGGTTATTCTGGAGTACGGCTCTTATTTTAGTGCAAAGTCCGTCTTTCCCAGGACGAGTCTGAGGTGCAGTGTCACCGCATTGCGGGGTGGGCGTGGGCCCCCTTCAGAGAAGCCGCACCAGGCTTCTGGGTGAGGATGGAATTGCGGATTCTGGTCATTTTTGTGAGATGGGATGTAATTTATTTAAAAACGATATTTCATGGCATAAATTCTCAAATTTTTACCAATTTCAGCATAAAAATAAAGCTTTAAAATATTTTATTTATTTATTTATTTATTTATTTATTTTTTAGAGAGAGGGGAAGGGAAGGAGAAAGAGTGGGAGAGAAACATTGATGTGTGGTTGCCTCTCATGTGTCCCTGGCCTGCAACCCAGGCATGTGCCTTAGCTGGGAATTGAACCAGTGACCCTTTGCTTCACAGGCCGATGCTTAGTCCACTGAGCTACACACCAGCCAGGACTAAAGCTTTAAATAAATATAATGTTTGCAATGGATAGCTTTGGCGGATGAGAAGATACAGGGTCCGGCAGAAGTAACGCCTGCTTGAGAGTGGTTGGTAGGGTAATAACATGGGTGTAATAATTTATAGTTTAAATTTGAACATCTGACTTAAAATGTCATTCTGTGTGTGTCAGTGTGATATTGTTATGTTACAGAATTACATGCTTATGCTTTTGTACTAAAAGAGTTTGTAATAAATCAGGGGTGTTATTTGTGCCGGACCCTATGTGGGTGTACTTTCTTTTGGCCATTTCAGGCACTTCTGCAGAGAAGTACTATTCTCTATCAGAGAGAACTGTGGGCACTTGGACTATTGTTAGATTGAAATAATTTGTCTCATACTAATTTATTCTGAAAGATAAATACTAAATTGAGAGAATGCCTAGAGATTAAAGCCTTTTCTATTGGTTTTCTATTGGTCATATGATCAGAAGTTTCTATGGAACAGAAAAGAATTAAGAATTTTAAGCCAAATGATAGATTGCTTCATATGTATTTAGCTAAAATATTTTTTAAGGTTTTATTTATTTTTAGAGAGAGGGGAAGGGAGGAGAAAGAGAGGGAGAGAAACATCAATGTGTGGTTGCCTCTCATGCGCCCCCTACTGGGGACCTGACCTGGCCAGCAACCCAGGCATGTATGTGCCCTGACTGGGAATCGAACCAATGACTCTTTGGTTCACAGGCCCAAAAGCCACACCAGAGTCACACCAGCCAGGGCAAAAGATTTTTTAATTAAAATTTTTACTGTATTTCTGAAAATTCAGAAAGTCAGCACTGGGAGTTATTAGAAATTAGTTAAATTGCATATGTTTAGAATTTAAAATATGTCTCTAGACTTTCTCTTCTTAAAGTTATAAACTTTTAAAAGTTTAAATAGATCCTGGCATTAACCTATAGAAGTTGATTAAAGATAAAAGGTAGAATTGGGGAGAACTTTAAAAGTTTTCTAATATAGCAGAAAGGAGTCTTGGTAAAATGATGGTTGATTTCTTTCCTGTTGAATAACTTTACATGCTTTCTTTATAGACCGTGTTGGAGCTGGACAGAATGGAAATGTCCGTGGATGCTGTAAGTGCATTCTCTTTACCTGTGTTGGAAGGGATATTTAAAAGTTGGCACAGACTCACCATTGGTGTTTCACAATTTCATTTTAAACTTTAAATTTAGTTTCAGAAAAAGTTTTATGAAAAAGATTTGTTGGATCAAGAGAAAGAGAGAGAAGAACTACTTCTTTTGGAAATGGTATGTTGTTTTCCCATGCACAAACACATACTTTTTTTCCTGACCAGTATTAACTGTGCTTTGCTATTAAGCCTAGTAAATAATTTCAGTGTTACACTACTACTTTCTTCCTAAACAACTAAATAAGAATCCTGATCATTTGAAAGCTGTTATTTTATGAACTGCAGGGAAAACTACACTTGAGAGGCTTTTTAAAAAGCCTGTTTTTATTGAAGTATTATTGACATACAGTTAACATTTTAAGCATACAATTTGATGAATTTTGACATATGGACATATCTATGAAACCATCACCACCAAACATTTACCAATCAAAATACCAAACATTTTCATTCCCTTAAATGAACCTTCTGCACCTTTATGATTCACATCTTCCCTTCCGGTGCCCAGAAGCCACTGACCTAGTCTCTGTTACTACAGATTAGTTTGTAACTAGAATTTATATCAGTTTGATAATATATTACCTGATCTTTTTGTCATGCATCAGAGAGAGAGAGAGAGGGGAGGAGAAACACTGACATGAGATAGAAACATCAGTTGGTTGCCTTCCCGTGTGTGTACTGACTGGAAATCGAACCTGCAGTCTGGTGTGTGCCCTGATCAGAATCGATCCCATGACTGATCTTGGGATCTGCGAGACGATGTGCTAACCACTGAGCAACACTGGCTGGGGCTGGGCGATGTTCTGTGCCCCCATCTGTGAGCTGCTGTGGCTATATAGGCGTGCTCCTTTTTGGGAAAATTCACTGAGCTGTACACTTAGAATTTTTCACTTTCTCTATTGAGGTATATTACACCTCAATAAACATTTTTAAAAACGTCCCAAAGACTATTGTCTTTTCTCACAGTCTTTTTAAAGAAAAACATTATTTTGCTATTCACAAATCAGAAATGAAAATGACCAATAGTAACACATTTTTTGCTAATGAAAATCAGTAAATACCTTCAAGAAAATAAAGGTCCATTACCACAGTGATACGAAACTCCTCTTTTTAAATAGCTTAACAAATCCCCAAAGGCACAATTCTGTAGATGTTAGAAGAACACAAATGTGAAAGAAACTGGACTTCTTTAGGCACTAATTTGGAAAGTAAAAGTACTTCTTTCAGGGATTTTTGTGAGCAAGATTTGTATTTCTAAAGCTTGGGGTAACTTCTCATTAGAACATCTTTTTAAGTCTGTTCATGCTCCCCTTTAATGCTGAAGACGCTGTTTTCCCGACAGGAGCAGTCGGAGAAGGAGAAGCAGCAAAGTGACGGGAGGCCCATGAGCGAGAGAACCTATGAGAAGAAACGTGAGTAGTTCTCCTGCGTCTTCGCCACTCAGTCCCACAGTCGATGTCTGACCCTGGCAGTGCTGAAAGGCCAGGCTGAGTTAGGAATTTCATAATGAAAAACTGCTTTTCTTTTACTCTTAAAAGTCATTTTCAAAACTGGCTGTTTAATGTTGTGTAGATGTTAAGAATACATGAATAAATGATGAGAAAGTGTGTGGAGCTTCAGTTCCTTCAAAGGAAAGTGATAACAGCAGTAAAGTTATGAAATTGTCACTGAATAACTAAGATTGGAATATGTAAATGTGCAGAGTGAGGGTATTTGGGAAAGTGTGCGGCTTAGCAAAGGGTATGCTTCCTTTTTTCTGGGCTGTCTTGTTCTGTGTATGGAGGTGAATAAGAGCCCAGGGGAAAGTGCGGCACTTAAAACAGACTTTGTTTTAGGTAGAGACACCAAGACACCAACAACGTTGCCCAAGAACACCCCCATTTCTGCCCCTGGGCCCTCTTCCAGCACCCCATCGACAAGTAAGAAACAACTTACTATGTTTCCTTCTTTCCTCTTATCAAAGTTCTTTATGGGGAAAGTCACTGTCTTAGACGAGAGCCATCATGCCAAAGCACCGTCGTTCTTCCGTTAGTGTTCGTGTGGGTGGGTCTGAGTGGGTGGCTCTGAGTGGGCAGCTGGGGTGAGAGGGCCCTGGGAACCCCAGCTCAGGAAAGGGAGCTTGACCCCTCTGTGGCTCCCTGAAAACGGTGGGGCGTGGAGAGGGGGTGGGGTCGGGCATCTAGTCACTTTTTTTTCTGCTTGTTACTTCAGGCAAAGAAATCAAGAAATCCAAACTGATTCGGAGCCAGTCCATCAATAATCAAACTTTTCATGCAAAATACAGCAACTTAGACAAGTGTGCTAGGTATGACCTGTCAGCCATTCACATTTCAACTTCTATTTTATAGTCACACATCTTTGTGTATGTGAAGTATTTACAGTATTATAAAATCAGCATTAATTTGTGTTTTTTATGGGTAAATCATTTTTTAGGTTTCTTCTCGAAAGACTTTGTTAAAAAATAGTAGTCTACCAGTTTGCATCAGAACAGGCATTCTGGTGGTCTGGGAGACCACTGCATGGCAGCCGTGGAGTGGCCTCACAGAGGCCTGTCTTGTTTCATGGGGAAGGTGGCACTGTGTCACATGTGCCACTCAGCTTTCGTGTGGGTGTGCACAGGCCCCGTCTGCTGAATGGGTGTGGGTGTCCATTTGCTCTTCGTGCTGTTTCTGGCCGTGAGAAGCTGCTGACTCATCTCTGTGGTGCAGCAGCCACAGCAGAGTTCTGACAATAAAAGAGTATCCAGTTCCCCCCTTGGCTCACCACAGCAGACAGAAGTATAAACAGTTAAGACTGGGGGAGAATCAATAAATGAAGTGAACATGATATTTGATATGTGTTATAGACATGTACTATAACAGCTGCACGTCAACCAACAAGCAAAGTGATTTTAAGGAAGCATAAAGTCTTCAAAAAGTATTTTTTTAATTTTATTTAGTTATTTTTCAAGTACAGTTTTTTTTTGTCTATTTCTCCCATCCCAGCCTCCCCCACCCCTTGCTCCCCACCTCCCTCCCATTTCCACTCCCTTTAGTTCTCGTCCCTGTGTCCTTCCTATTTGTTCCTCCAAATCCCTCCCCCTTTTTTTCCTTAACTTCCCTTCCCTCTCCCCTCTGGTTGCTGTCCCCTTGTTCTCTATTTCAGTGTCTTTGTTTTTTTTTCTGCTTGCTTGTTTGTTTTGTTGTTAAAAGTATTCATTTATCTATCAAAATATGTTATGGAAAAACATGTTTTTCTTTTATTAAGACTAGCTTATTCAGAGTTTAAGCTATATTTTAGGACCTTATCAATAGGTCTATGTAGAGTTCCTAGTCAATAGGGGGATCTCTGTTTGTACAAAAGAGGTTAGAAGTAAAGACAGGTTGTAGCAAGGAATTTCATCACTGTTGCCCACCTTCGCTGACCATCAAAACACTAACTGCTGATCCAGGGCAGCAAAAGTTTAAGGAAATGCTTCTAAGTTATAGACAAAGTAATTGTTGTGAAGCATGGAATAGAAAAAATACATAAGTAAAAATAATAAGCATGTTTCATTAGCAGTAGGGCAAGCATTTAAAATAAAAGATTAAAAAGGGCCATGAGCTAGACAAGTGGGATTGAAACACACATGCTCTTGTGTTTTAAACTTAATTTTATTCTTTTCTAGTAAAAGTTCTGCAGCAGCATACACAACTTCTGTCTCAGGGTTAGCGAAGACTCCTATGGTCTCCCTCACTGGTAAGTAAAAATCTGAGCTCTCAAAAAATTGTTGAATTTAATAAAATATGATTTTCTTTAAATGACCAATTTGTTAGATTTCTAGATACAGTATTTTCCCTAAATGTATATCTTTATCAGATACCTAAGAAATTAAACTTTTCCCTAGCAACTGAGAAAATATTTGACTGTACTATTCTGTTTTCACTCCGTGTCAGGACCAGGAGTTTAATACTTTTAAAAGAGAAAAAGGACAAAATAATAGGATAGGTTTTACCATAGTCTGAGACCTGCTGAGGCATAGACTAAAATTTTTTGTAGTATTTTTAAGTTAGTTAAAAACATTAGGAAAAAAAACATTAGGGCTTTACTAATGTTTCTATGCAGATAATATGCAGCTAAACATTTGCAATATTATATATTTGACACTATACCAGGAATCAGAAAACCATTTACATAAAGGGTCAGAGAGTAAACATTTTAAGCCTTGTTGGCTACTTTGGCCTATGTCAGAGTCACTCAGTTCTGCCATCATGGAGTAGAAGGAGCCATGGACACACGTAAAGAGTGAGGAGGACTGTGTTCCAGGAAAACTGCCCACAGAAGCAGCAGCGGGCATGCTTCAGCCATGAGCTGCGGTTTGCTGACTTCCGGCATAGGTAGCGAAACAGATTTTTTGCTTTGAGAATATCAGTCGAAAATTGTAATATTGACCTATGGCAACTTTTTAGTGTAAGTCAAAGCAAATCTATTGAAGTTCTGAAAATTTTAATCATTATATTTCCTATTTAGGTTGTGTTTTGAGTCTTCTTTCTTTCTCTTACCTCTCCCTGTGTTCTTTATATTCTCGTGAAGAATATATGCACACTCACTGTTCTGTAAACAGTATGTGTTCGTTTGCCAGGACAGAAAGTCTTTCTGATGTTAAAGTTTTACGTTCACATACAGTATATAGACTGGTTCTACAAGCTATGCCATAGGCATTGTAGCAGTCCTGGAAGAACTTACTTCCTGTAAGTTGTCAAACTGAAGTTATCAACCTTCCTTTGAGTTAGGTCTGTGCATAGTACGAGTGCTGATTACTTTTATTTCAGCAAAGTGGTGAATTCTTTGGGAGACACTCCAGGAACCTTCAGGGTTTGGGAACTTTATTTACAATAGAGAATGCTTTTTAAAATTGTAAATATGTATAGAAAGACAACTTGGAGCTAATGGTACAGATGATTATAGCTTTCCATAAGGGGTTCTTCCGACTCGGATGGGTCCCTGCCGGCCTCTCGGAGTTAACTTCACCCTGCTGTGAATGAAGACTTTTACCTATGAACTTGTAACAACAGTTCATGCCCGGAAATTTCTTTGCCTAAATTATTAAGAATATGGATTCTGAACTGTTTGTGTTTGTATTTTTTAGAGAGAGAAAGAGATTTGTTGTTCCACTTACCTGTGCATTCATTGGTTGATTTTTGTATGCACCCTGACTGGGGGTCAAACTCTCAACCTTGGTGTATCGGGGTGACTCTCTAATCAACTGAGCTGCCTGGCCAAGGCTGAACTGGTTTTTAAAAGTTTTAGTTATGTGCATTAATTTTCCTTCAGTTTTTACTTTGCTAGTTCTTAAGTTATCTTGAGAATCAGGAGAGTATATATGATCTACTTAACATCCAAAAACTTAAATAAAAGCATGTATTTTATAAGGGTAATTCTTTATTAGAATATTTGAAAGATATTCTATCTTAAGGGCTCAATATTGTTTTGGAGAGAGGGAATATGGTTTGAAATATCTAGTTTTCTCTGTTAGAAAAATATGCTTATTATGTATTGATTACTTAGTGAAGTACAGACTGAGGCAAAAGTCACTTACAGTTACACATGAGATGTAAAGAGAAAATGGAAATAAAATGTCTCTCAACAAATGTGCCAGGTGTTCACATAGAGAAGAGATTTTATCTACGTGTGGGACTTGAGATGCAGCCTTTAAGATGATTCTGTCCTGCGAGGAAGGCCTGAAGGTGTGCCCGGGCTCTGGCAGGCAGAGATGGGTGTGGAGTGACATCCTGTGCGGAGCACCCGTCCCCAACGACAGCTGGGGGTTGGTGTCTCCGGGGAGCAAGGGCAGGCCAGTTTGGAGTGTGGAACAGGTGGAAGGGAGAGCAGAGTCGAATGAAGCTGAAAGGGAAGGTCAGAGTCATGGCTTGGAAGGTCAGAGTCATAGCTTGGAAGGTCAAATCAGATCCTTTTACTCAACATGAGCCCATCCTTAATTGTCCAGTGACTTCTGCCTGTCAGTTACAACATGCCAAGGCAATGTGGGTGCATTGGACCCAGGGGAGGGAAGTACGAAAAGGATGCTAGGAAGGGTTAGGGGGAAAACTGCAATGTGTCCATTGTCAGTTGCTGTGGAAAAGCAATGGTACCATTTTGACAAGCAGTTTGGTAAGGCTTATCAAGAATCCTAGATTTAGGGGACTTCCACCAAGATGGAGGCGTAGGTGGAAACACTTTGCGTCCTTGCACAACCAAATCTAAAAACAATAAAGTTTTAACAATAATAAACACAACCAAACCACACAGAAAATCGACAATACAGAGTCCGAAAACAACGACCACTCAGCTAAACTGGTGAGAGGTGCGAAGCCAGCAGTGGAGCGGGTCGGGCAGGGAAGATCCCTAACCCGGGCGGTGCACAGGCAGCTGAGGGTGCGGATCCCAGGTGCGGGCTAGCTACGTGCGGGCTAGCTACTGGCAGACACAGGGAAGAGGCGCAGCTGGCTGTCTGCAGTCAGTCGCGCATTTGCACGCAGATAAACCAGTAAAGAGGTGAGCATTGAGACCACATGGCGCAGGGCGGTGGGCTCACACATTTGCGCTCAGATAAACAGGCGGGGCGAGTGGTGAGGTGGACTGGGCAAGCAGAAAGGACTGCCATTGCTCCCTCTCTGACCCCGCCCCCCACGTATAGTGTCACAAACCAGCAACTGGGTGGCCCTGCCCTGGTGAACACCTGAGGCTCTGCTCCTTATACATAACAGGCACAAACAGATAAAAACATGGCTCAAGAACAACTCAGAGCCCCAGAGCCAATAAATCTAAGCGATGAAGAAATAGCCAAACTTTTAGATGCAGAGTTCAAAACACTGGTGATCAGGATGCTCACAGAACTGGTTGATTTTAGTCACAAATTAGAGGAACAGATGAAGGCTAAACTAATTGAAATGAATGAAAATGCACAGGAAACCAATAGTAATGGAAAGGAAACTGGGACTCAAATCAAGGGAGTAGACCAGAAGGAAGGAAAAAAATGACCAAACAGAAAAATATGAAGAGACAAGAATTCAAAAAAATGAGGAGAGGCTTAGGAACCTCCAGGACATCTTTAAACGCTCCAACATCCGAATTATAGGGGTACCAGAAGGGGAAGAGGAACAGCCACAAGTGGAAAACTTATTTGAACAAATAATGAAAGAGAACTTCCCCAATCTGGCCAAGGAAATAGACTTCCAGGAAATCCAGGAAGCTCAGAGAGTCCCAAAGAAGTTGGACCCAAGAAGGAACACACCAAGGCACATCATCATTACATTAGCCAAGATTAAAATGAAGGAGAGAATCCTAGAAGCAGCAAGAAATAAGGGACAGTCACCTACGAAGGAGTTTCCATCAGACTGTCAGCGGATTTCTCAAAAGAGACCTTACAGGCAAGAAGTGGCTGGAAAGAAGTATTCCAAGTCATGAAAACCAAAGACCTACATCCAAGATTGCTCTATCCAGCAAAGTTTTCATTTAGAATGGAAGGACAGATAAAGTGCTTCTCAGATAAGATCAAATTCAAGGAGTTCATCATCCACCAAGCCCTTATTATATAAAATGTTAAAGGGACTTACCTAAGAAAAAGAAGATAAAAAAGATGAACAGTGAAAGGACAGCAAACTCACAGTTATCAACAACCACACCTAAAACAAAAGCAAACTAAGAGGACAGCTAGATCAGGAGTGAACCATAGGAATGAAGATCATGTGGAGGGTTAGCAACAGGGGAGTGGGAGAAGGAGAAGGGGGGAGAAGGTACAGAAAATAAGTAGCATAGACAGTAAATAGAAAATAGATAGGGGGGAGGGTAAGAATAGTAGGGGAAATATAGAATCTAAAGGACTTGAGACACGTGTTCATGAACTGAAGGGGGGGAATGGTGGGGGAGGGGTGTGCAGGGTGGAGGGGAATGGAGGGGGAATAGAACAAATGTAATGGCATAATCAATAAAATAAAAAATATATTAAAATAATAAAAGAATCCTAGATTAAAAAAAACTCTGTGACTCAAAATATCCCATTTTTAGTGAACTGTCAGGAAGCAATAAAGTAAAATGTGATAAAAGTATGGCCTAGTATATCCCCCTGATATGATGTGATGAAGATGGCACTTCACCTCTGTCACCCTCCCTCAAATCCTAGTCTAATGTAAGAAGAGCGTCCGATTGTGATAGTGGAGCATCCTATGAAATATTTGGCCAGTGCCCTTCAAAACTGTTAGGGCTGTCAAAAACAAGGAAAAGCTGAAAAACTGTCACAGCCATGGACAGCCAAGGACAAGTAATGTGGTATGCTGAATAGAATCCTGAGGCAGACATTGCCAGGTGAAAACTAAGGAAATCTGAACACGGTGTGGATTTTACTTCATAATGTATCACTGTCGGTTCATCCATTGTCAACAAGTATAGTAATGTGAAGTGTTATTAATAGGAGGGAAACTGGGCGAGGAGATAAATGGGTGAGGAGTACTGTCTTTTCAATATTCCTGAGAATGTAAAACTGAAAACAAAAGTCCATTTTAAATATAACATTAACAACTTCAAGAACATTAAAGTTTCATGTATTAACTTTTAAAAATATGTGCTAAATGTACACTGAAAACTTTAAAATGTTGCTGAAAGAAATTAGGGAAGACCTAAAAAATGTGGTGTCGAGTAGGGGAAGAATCCCTTCTTCTTTAAGAAGTTCTTACAGCTGCGTTAATAATTAAATAATAAAATCGACGCAAGACCAGATTAACAGGAGAAAAACCAATTCCATATGTATGTGTGGGACAATCACATATGACACTCAGATCACAACATTAGGTTCAAAGAATGATCCATCTGGGTGCCTTTGAATATTTTTTAGACAAAGAAACAGTAAAGTCGTGAAGTAATTGACAGGACGAAGGGAGAAAAGGTCGTGCTCACTAGAAAGGAGTACAAGCAAGGTGTGGGCACAGGAAGTCAGAAAAGAGGCAGTGCGTCTTGTTCCTACAGAGTCTTGGGCCAGAGTGGTTTCCTGTCAGTGGTGAAGGGTGTCACCAGGTGTGGGGAGGGCGCCTTTCATGCTGGAAGTGTGTCCCTGCACGCAGGGCGACTGCAGGGTCAGGGTGCCCTTCCGGCAGTGGCTGCTTTCCAGGTAACTAATTCAAAGTAATCAGTATGCCATTGTGGGGTATTCTGAGAGACGTGCGTGTTTATGGATTGAAAAACTTCATATCGTTGTATGTCTGTTTTTTAAAATTGATCCAGAAATTCAGTGCAATCCTGATCAAACTAGGCTGATCCTAGCAGTCTTTTTGTAGAAATTCATAAGCTGATTCTAAAATCTACAGTGAAATGCACAGAAATGAGTATAGCCAAAACCATTTTGAAAAGAAACACTGGAGAACTTAAACCATTTGATTTTCGCACTCACTGCCAAGCTCCAGTACCAAGACCATGTGGCCTGCGCAGCCTTGCGTGGCAAACTGAGTGTCAGCAAATGGTCCAGAGAAAATCGATGGTGAGGCGGGCGGCACATTTTAAGGGGACGCTAGAATTATTAGATGTCTGTATTTAAGAAAAAAACTTCAGTTCTTGCACTATACACAAAATTAACTCAAAATGTTTTATAAACTTACACATAAAAGTTAAAACTATGGCATTTCTGAGGAAAATACAAACAGAAGTTTTTGTAATTTTGGAATAAGCAAAGATTTCTCCAAACCATAAAAAAAAAATTAACAGGTTTGACTTCATCAAAATTTAAAACTTCTGTTCTTCGATATAAATCATAAAAAATAAATGGCAGGACACAGATTGGAAGAAAATATTGATTTACATGTGCCTGACAAAAGACTTGTATCCAGAATATACAAGGAAATCTTCAAAAGTAATTAGTCAACTAATTTTAAAATGGCAAAAAAAATCTGGACATACATTTCACAATAAGTACATGAAGAGATACTAGTACTCATCAGAGAAATGCAAATTAAAATCGTTGAGAAAAAAAAAAAAAACAGGAGGAGAGGCCACTTCACACGCACTAGAAAGTCTCGGTTAAGAAGGTTCACAATGTCAAGTGCGCTCCAGGACGCCAAGCCTCTCTCCAGAACTCCCGGACACTGCTGGTGCAGATCAGTGGTTCGGCTACTTCGGACAAAATGTGGTGGTTTCTAAGGAAGTTAAATATACACTTACCTTGTACTCCTAGGATTTTACTGAAGGGAAATTAAAACCTACATGCACACGCTGACTTGTGCATGATTGTCCGTAGCAGCTTTGTTCATAATAGTCAAAAACTGGAAAAACCCAAATGTCTCTCAATAGGAGGATGGATAAACAAATGTGGACGCGTCCATGCAGTGGAGTGCCGGTCAGCAATAAAACGGAGTGAAATGTCGACACACACCACAACAGGGGGAACCCTCAACATGATGATGCTGAATGAAGCCAGACCAAAAAAAAGTACATATCATATGATTCCACTTATGTAAAATTCTAGAAAATGCAAACTAATCTCTAGTGACTGGGGAGGCAGATCTGTGGTCATCTGCGAGCGGGGAACAGAGGGAGGGTTTGCAAGGAGGCAGCGTTTGGTGGTGACGAGGCAGTGATGGCCTCATGAGTGCATACACGTCAAAACCTTAAATTAGTGCAGCTTGCTGTGTATAAATCACACCCTAATGAATGGAGAAGAAAAAACGTCAGCTACCATTAACTTTTCTTGCCTCAGTCTGTCCACTGGGTCTGACTGTGCACGTGTTACTTTCAGATGACTCATTCCGGACGCGCAATGCCAGTAGCCTGCCGGGGTCCTTCTCTCCTAGTACACCCCTCCCGAGCACCTCCCGTGGGGCCGGGAACTCAGCTGATCCCAAGAGCAGTGGGAGTAAAGACACACAGCCACGCAAGGCCACCTTGTAAGTACCCCAGGGATGAATTGCGGAGTGTATCACCCGACTCTTTTTCTCAGTGCGCTTTCCTTCCACTCAGTTTCCAGAGAACAGGAAGTGTCCCCAAGGAGGAAGTGTTCTGAGTGAAAGGGTTAGCGCACGTGCCTCTGATCTGTTAATACTCTATCAGGTGATCTGTAGGGAATCAACACGAAACTAAACGGCTCCCGCTAGTATCCCAGATCTTTCTAAATTGTCCTGTGAAACGTTTGCATTCAGGGACTTGACTTGAGAGGACAGTTGCGGCCCTTTGAAGAGCTAGCTTAAGTGGACAGTGTTTCATCACCCCGTGCTCAGAACATGGGCACACCCGCACCCCCTCGGCTCACCCTCGCCCACTGGACTCTCACTGCAGCGCGGAGTCCAGAGTCGTGGCTCAGCAAGCTGGAGACTTCTACCCGCTGTGCTCATCCTTAGAATCGAGGTTATAGAGGGCCTCTGTTCTCCACTCCCTGGGTTCCTGTTCATGTGCTCTTAGTACCTTGTTTGAATCGCCGAAGCCTTTGTTTCTTTTCATTTAAACATTGAAGGGGGTAGTCCCGTAAGAATCATTCTGAGGAGCCATCCCGTCACAGTAGGAGTGATTCGCCCCAGCTGCCCCAGCTGTACGCACAGGTTTGCTCTTCTGTGGGGGACACCTGCCTCTTCTGACTAGAGCAGGATCTAAACAGGGTTCAGGTTTTCTTTTAGACAGATGCCACCTAATTCATTAATATTTTCCAGCAAGGGTTCTGACATGCGTGTTTTAGTGGTATCCCTTTGAGGAGCTGAATCATCTTGTAACTTACTCTAAATTTTAATCAGCCATTGGCATGTACAAATATAGATGTATTTAAGATTCATTCAAAACTTAGAAACAAATTTATGGAAAGAAGCTCAGGAAAAGGTAGCACTGAGCATCATAGAAAAAGTAGTAGGAAATAGAAGGGAGTAATACTGATACCGCAGATATCAGTGCTGATACAGAGGGTACGCTCATTCGCTCATTCGCTGTTCCATACAGTTGCTCCAGTGGTTATACTGTGGACGAGCCACTTAAGAGCCGTGCGTGCAGAGCCAGGACAGGGCACGGTCTGTAGTGGGTACAGAGCTGGAGCCCTCTGACCTGGTTCCAGAGGCAGCTAAGGAGCTGCGGACGCTGCACTCGGCACTCTGGGCCTCATTATCCCATCAGTGAAGTGACAGGGCTGCCTGCGAGTTTGTCCTCTGAGGGGCCTTCCTGTTCTGGGATCTGAGATGGCCCTGGAGTCCCTCTGCTGGACTCCTCTGCACACTAATAACACCAGACGGCCACTCATTATCTTCTCAGCTCACTTTTCTCAGTCCCACGGGCACTCTTCAAAAATAAAGACCATTGAAACTTTGTATGTTTATATCAACTCTTCTTTATTTCAGATTACTGACTGTATCTGTTCTCCCATTGTTGAGCATGTTATTCCTATGTATAGACTGAGTTTCTCTTGTTCAATAGATATATAATTATACAATCACTTACATTCTTAATTGATTGTTTAAAAAATGAATCCAGAAACAAACACTCTGCTAACAAGTCACATCACTTTTCTCTTCTGTTCTGAATACCCTGAAGGAGGGGAATATTGGCCCAACACCTGCTTTTTAAACACGTGCCTGGGTCTCCAGTCCACGACTGTGTCTCCGCGTAGCGTGCTGCTCTCTGGGCTTTGTCACTGCTGCCAGCCACGCGTAGCCGGAACAGGTGCCCAGTGTGGCCGTGTTCCATTGCGTTTCGGGAAGTGCTGTCCACTGCTCAGCACCCTGCCATGTCCAAATGAAAATTGATCATTTCTACTTAAAATGAGCCTCAGAAGTGATTTCAGAAGATATTGCCAGTTTTTGTTGCTCAGCAACATTCTGTGCGGTCCATTCTCCGACTTTTTAGTATCACGGAGATGACCCACACCTCTTGTAGTCGGGTCTTAAAGGCGGCGTGGGGGTGCATCAGATCCTAAGTCTCGTAGAGCCAGACAATTGATATATTTAAGCTGCATTAATTTCTGTTACAGTTGTGCACAAAATAAAAAAAAGTAGGAAAAGGATGGATTGAATCAAATGATTCGCAGGATTTGGTAATTAAAGGTAATTCCAAGTAATATTTAAGGTGTATTTATTTTTTCACTTAATCAGAATGCTCATATATTAGGTTTATTCAATGTTGATTCTACTTATATTCGTTTACTTTGTAGACATTATACAGATAAAATTTTTCATGTTTGTTTTTTTTCTCTTTCTTCCTCTCCCTTCCCTCTTTCCGTCCTTCCTTCTCTTCCTTCCCCTCTTTCTCTTCCTTCCTCCCTGACAAAGAAAATCCAGGAAATCCAATCCTTAAATCATCTGCTTGGCAAAGGAGGCAAAACAAACACAAGTGGAGACAATATAATTGATGGACAAAAGCTAACGCAATGGCTGGGGCTCCTTTTTTTTAAACGAATGGAAAGAGATACGTTATGGCAGCTGGTGTTGCTAACAGTTCCATATTTGAAATTAGATTCTGTAGGAGGAATAATATATATTTCTTAAATAATAACGTGGTTACAGAATTCCAATGTTATAGTGAGTGTGATGAAAAACAACTTTAGTATTGCTTTAACTACTGCTGCAGAAGAGACCAGTGTGCATTTATTTATGCAGGAAACCATCTATTTACTTGATCTAGAGCTTTAGCATTTAAAAATTATATGGAAGTCTGTATCGACTGAAACGGCCATAGCTGGAGGATTGCTCGGAGGGGCCTTGGGAGTTAGAAAGACAAGACATTCGTTTCTGAAGAATCTCCAAGCTGGTTGAAAAGTCCCACTGAAAGGGGCACCAGTAGCTAGCTGTCTGCAATCTTATCAGTCCGTTAGTGGTGACAGTGTGTTGCAGGGTATTCTGAAATTTAAATTTGGCAATGAGTATTCCACAAAGTTTTCTGATACCTTTTAGCCACAACTACCTTCAAAATAATAGATCGATGATTTCCTTTATTTCCTAGAAGAGTTTATTTTATACATACCTTGTTTACATTTTAGATTGTATCTGTCCTTAATTAGGAATGATGAGTCTAGTTGGAATCAGTTGTTATTCCGAGCTATCATGCTTCAGCTACGTCAGCAGCATTCATTTGTACTAACGCTAATATTTCCATCCCAATTTGCCTGTGGAATATATATGATCGTTAATTTTAAAATGTCAGTTCTTGAGATATACTGTATGAAGCTATTGTCAGCTTCTCTATTTCAGAATGCAATCAGCATATAACTATATTGATATTAGAAAATACTTGTTTTTTTAATATATTGATGTATGATAAAGATGATCTAATTTGTGAATGCATATGCGTGTGTGGTTACTTTTTATAATGTAAAATAATGAATAGTGAATTTACTCAAAATAAAACATAGGTTAATGAGATACCTGTGTTTGTGAAAAAAGTTTTAAATACTTCTCTGCAGTTTTTATTCCACGATTAAAGAGTAAGACAGTTCATGTCCAAGCAATGAGTAACAGAAGCGTACGACATCAGCTACAAATGACTCAGGAACAGGTGCTCAGTGTGAAACTTTTATGCCACTTCTGTCCCCATTTCCTCACAGCGGGCCCTTTTGGGGGCTCTTTTTAGTGATTTTTAATATGTTTCAGTTAAGGATAGGTTAATGGAATTGTTCACCTACCCACTTGTCAGTACTTAGAAACTGAGTAGACACGAGAAGCTTGACCGTATACGAAGGCTAACTTAGTACATTCTTTGCGAATTTCACTAAACTATTTTCATGATGTCTCCTACCAGCGTCACTAACGTGGACTTGAACTCTGTGATCTGGGAGAGAGTATTTATGGTGAGTGCATGGGACTCAGAGTGACACCAGTTTTCCCAGCGCTTTGATTCATAACCTGCATTGACTCTTGTTATTTTAAATAAAATGGAGAATTTCAGTTAATTTGTTCAGTAATCAATTTGGCAGTTAGGGACTTTTACTTCCTTTATGCATGTGAGAGAGAGGAAAGTGATTTGACAGAGAAACGTCACTCCTGCTTGCAGAATTCGGGGATTTACAGACGTCGGCTGCAGTCTTACTCCAAAGGTACCAAGTTGTCAATGAAGACAGTCAATAAAAATGATGCTCAGAAGTTCTTCTTTCTTTTTATTTTTTGCAGAACATGATCATTTCTAAAATTGCTGAAACATTTGTTAAAATTATATAATTTCCAAAAATAGATATAGAAAACAATAAAAAACAAATGGATGACAGTTATGAATATCCACACTGCAATGAGACTGATACTCCTGGACAAGGCCTTACTTTAATGACATATCAAATAGTTCCTTGAAACCACTTGTAGAAAGAGCCCCCCTCCCCCCCGTGACTGCGGGGAAATAGGGGCATCGCCTCATTTGTGTGTGAATTGTATCCGTAAGTTATATTTTGACAGGTTCTCAAATCTCACAGGTCAGCATTACAAGAGAAAAACAGATGTGTAGAGCTCAGTTTTACTGGCAGACATGGAGAGCTCAAAAGGGTTTTACTTCATAGTGGTAAAATAAGGAGCATGTAGGAATTTTCTTCCACAGCCTACATGTATTTGAAAATTATTTCCATTATTTGAATTCTGAGCTCAGGCACCTTAGGAAGGGACGGGTCCGTTTCGCCTTGCGGTTAGTAGGCAAACATGAAATGTTCAAATTGAAATGAACAGTCAGTTAGCTTAAGTAGGAGTTGTACAGCAAGGAAAAAGGAATTAGCTTAATTAAATAATCTGTTCTTAATTGTTACAGCATGTGCGAGAGACTGTGTGTGTGGGTGTCTGTGTAGGAACAGTTTTTAAAACCTCACACATATAGAGAAGCCTTGTTATAATGTGCAAATTTTCCCTCTCAGTAGAAACCTTGATTTTTTTTTTTTGTATCATTAATGACACTTTTCATTGTCTGCATTTCTTCACCATGCTTGTATGAATATACTTGGAAAATCTGAAACCTAGCGTCCTAGGAGCTTCTCCCAGCATATGTGGGCATATTAAAAATACTTTTAAAAACACGGAATAGGCCATTTCCTGCCTTGAAGAGCAGCGTGGTGGAGCTGTGACACCGCTACTGTGCGTGGGGGGGACCAGGTGGGAGTCTGCCCTGTGTGTTTTGTGGATCCTTCAATGAGAATGAAACTCTCAGAACTTGGTTTGGTTGCATTGATTTCAGGGGGTGTCATGCTTTTGTAGACATTTTTCCTCCAAATTTCATCTCTTGAAAGTAGGTAATTTGATTGAACCCTCTTTTATTTTTCTTCCTAGTATTTCTCCACAAAAATTGAATACTAATGAGGAATGCCCGTTGGAGTCAGCCCTCTATTTTCACCTCTCTTTCTAGGCCCCAGAATGGCCTTACCCTTGGAGTTGTCCACCGGTGCCCCAGGAGGGAAGAGAGGAATGAGTGAATATCCAGGTTTTAGAACGATAAAAAGTCCATCTTTATCCTGCTGCTGGGTATTGGTACCTGTTCACACTAATATGACACATTACTCTGATTTATGTTAGTTAAGGTGACTAATCAGTAGATTGATTTTAGGTATAAAATTGGTTATGGAACAAATAGAAATCCAATTAGGCATTTAGTTGACACTCCAAGAATAGCTCCATTTATGGGTCTCAGAATTTACTCCTAAAGTATTTTCTTGTCTCTGTAACAGAAAATGGCTGCTTAAAAACAGTTTCAGGGGTATTTGCTGTTTTCCTTCCAGCCTCGGCACTGAGTCCACGCTTACTCTCTGTTTCACCCGAGTGGGTAACTGCGAGGGCAGCGAGTGCCACCTGTGTCGGTGGACCGTGCTGGGCAGTTTAGACCGAAAGAAGGGGAAGTGCGATGGGCCCGGGGCCTGGAGTCCGGCGTCCCTGCCGTTGCTGCCTGGGGACACCTTTCTCTTCTAAGGCGTCCGGTGTGATTTATCCATTTGGTGTGGCAGGCACTGTGCCTCAGGTCCATGGTACTTTGTGGGGCCCATAAAGATGTTTTACTTCTTGCAGTAAAGCAAGTTACGTGCTTTGACTGCCTCAGTATAAAGACAAATACAACCCATTATAGATGTGCATGTGTATATATATTTATACAGTCATAAAATAGAATTTTAATACACATACATACTTTTTATGGAGGACAGACCCCAGAAGTGCCTGGGCCCATAAGTCATAATATAACCCGGCCTCTGGTTCCCCACTTCCATCCTTTGGGAAATGGGGGCACTGACCGAGGGGACCTGCAGCTCAGTTAACGTTTCTGCCAAATGACTGAAGAAGGCATCATGGAGTAGACCAGGCCACACTGAGGCAGATGCTGTGATCAGGACAGATGACAGCCATGTTTTTCTAATTTTTGTCACTAGTGTATGTTCATGATACAGTCTTTCCTATACATCAGCTGGCAACTGCTCGGCTAGCTTTCTGCTGAGCAGCTGGGCACCGAGGAATAGACCGGAGTCACACATGGTAACTATGCCATTCGCTCAGCTTTTATTGAAGGCAGGTTCACTCAAAGTAGAACATCAACACATGTTAATATCCTACCCACACTGACAATCCAGGAGAAATATCACACACATACACACAGCCATCAATGGGGGCTCACGAACCCCAGTCCCAGAGTCTCAGTCTGCAGGTCCAGGAATCATAACAGGGGCCAAGGGAGTCATCAGCGTCTTGTAAGGAAGGGTCTCAGGAGCTAGGTGGGCAGCAGGGCAGGCGAAGTCCTCAGTCCAGCAGGGCAGAGCCTCTGGTGGCCAGTGCTAGGGGAGATCAGCATGGTGTGGAGCAGCCCTCTGGTGTCTCAGCAGTGGCCCGGAGCCTGCCTCAGTTATACCCTTGAAAGTAGTGCATGCCACGCTTCTGGGTCTTTTGATGAGTGTCTTGGCCCCCTGATGCTAAGTGCGGAATTAGCCCAGGAACCTATAGGTGGTTCACAGCTGTTCTGCTTGGCACCCCTGATGGCAAGTACAGACTCCCCAGGCACCCATCTATGGGTGGTCCCACATCTGATCACATGTGCAGATGCCCTGGTGTGTCTCCTTGCCAGATGTGTCTGCGCTGACTTAGGTGTTTTACCTCTTGAACCAAAGTGCCATGGCTGACTGGCAGCCATCTTGGTTGACACAAGTGACTCCACTTTGGTTTACATACTTTATGCTGTCTTGGTCTGACCAATGGCATTTTATTGGTCCTGCTCTCCACGATCTTAGTCAGCAAGAAACGATTCTATGCCAGATTATAAGAAAACACCGTACCAGAGGGCAGTGAAGAGAGTCAAGTACGTGACTCACAGCATGTGGGCGAGTCTTCCTCCCAGAGGCATCCTCTGGAAACAGTGTCCTGGGGCACCTTTTTAAGTCCAGACGCGTGAGAAACACAGAAAGGTGGATATTCCACCAGGCTAGTCCTTAGTCACCAATGGAGGCTCTTAGAAACAGGCTAAAATACCAAGCAGATTGTACAAACACCTCCTTAAAATAAGTTCGCGTTTCATACTCAGATGTTTCTAAGGATGGCTCAGTCGCGGAGGACCAGAGTCCCTCTCTTCTGCCACCCGGAGCCAGTATCTCGTGTGGGTTCCCACGGCTCACAGCATCTGCTGTGCACCACAAACTCGGACTTGTCATAAATCACAGCAGAGTTGGGTTCACCACCCTGCCCAGGAATAGGAGCATTCTAGAGGTTTCTTCATAGATCATGAAATGGAAGGGCCGGTCCACTTTGATGACGGGAGGCATGGAGTAAGCAATAATTTCCGACAGCGTTCCCGCCATTGCCTCAGTGCCTTTCTCATTGACCTCAATCACCGATTTTTGTAAAACCTGGGAAAGAAAATGGGGAAGACCGTCTGGGTGGCAGTGGGAAGGAGGCAGTTAATTGCGCCCTGTGACATTTTTTGCTGTGGTCCTACCCACAGGGCCAGGCTCGTGGGCATGAGTGGGGCAGGGCTCCTCTGTGCTGACGGGGTGGTCTGAGGGTGCTCCAGGGGTTCGCCTTAGAAGCCCCAGAACAATACCAGGAGACCCCGGGCACCCAAATGTGAAACATACTGGGTGTGGGCTGGCCAGTTCCTTCCTGCATGTGTTGGATCAGCAAATACTTACTGAGCATGTACTTTGTGCTACTGATTCTTGAGCGGAGCTGGTGCTCCTCCAGAAGGTTCTCAAGCGCCCGGAAGCGCTGGGAGGCATGGTGGGGTCAGGAGGGTGGCTAGTCTGCATCAGCTTCGCAGACCTGGCTCTGCCCTGAGGAGTCCCTGGGGCAGACCCTGCGGTCCCTGAGGTCTTCCTGAACTCTGGGTGCCTGTACTCAGGCCACATGGCACGGTGGCAAACCCCTTCTTTGTCCAGGAGCCTTAGGTTGTGTGGGTGGCAACACCGGTGTGATGAAGATAAGAGGTAACAGAAATGTCAGTGTGATAACACCTGGAGATCCCCTGATCTGGAGTGAACAGAGGGGGAGCATTTAGGGACTTGCGATTTGAACTGGAAAAGAGCACTGTGCCCCAGTTCTCCAGGTGTGTGCAGCAGCCGCTCCTCCGGATGCCGGTCTGCAGGACGGGTGTGTTCATTGGTGCTCCCTTCCCTGAGTGGCGAGGCCCGAGCCCAGGCCACGGCTGCCCTGCTGCTTCCTATGTAGGGATGCCACTTTGAATGTCTTGGAACTAGGAAGCGCAATTCTCTGGGGAAATACTAACCAAACCCCACAACTACGGAAGAATGTGGGGAGGTGCAGCTGCCATTTGGAAAACATCGGCAATTTTCTCCACCATGATCATGGCTGGGGGCTTGCTGCCAGAACGCTAACCAGCTGCCTGTGATGCCCGGAGCTGCTCCAGACAATGGACAGTGCGCGCCCCCAAACCAACAGGGCTTCCACTGAGACTGCACGAGCTGAAGGGGCTCCTTGTGGGGAGCAACTAAGCTTGCCCTTCATAGCTTAGAGGCTGAACAAGGGCCAAAGAGGACGAGTCAGGGAGGAGTTACAGGTCCCAAACCCACATATATGTTAGCTGTTTATGGATTCGGTTGCTTTTCAAAGAAGCGTTGACTTCCCTGTCACTGAAAGCAGTAAGAGAAAGGGAGGGAGGGATGGAGGGAGGGAGGGACCAACAAACCACAGGGCTGTTTTGTAAGGTTATTATAGAGGGGATTCCAACAAGGGGGCGAGGAATTGGGCAGGTGGCTTCTGGTGGTTTCTTTCGTCTTGCAAGTGGTGTAATTTCATCATTTTAAATGAATCTGTGAATCAGTTCCTTTTCAGGGGTAGATTTCTCCTTGAGCATTTGGGAGAGAAGAGGGAAGGCTCCATAGAAGAGAAATTAAATTATTGAACTAATGCTTCAATAAAGTAAAGACTCGCAAAACATCCAAGCTGGGTGCTATTTCGAGTCTTTGGAATTTAAATCTAAATTTCTACTACAACTTGGTATTTTATCAACATTAGAGTGATTTGTGAAAATACTGGTTGGCTTTGGTCCCATTCCTACTTCGGGGTGGGTCCCAGTAAAGGGCCCTGACTTACCTTAGTTACTTTCAGATTTCTCGCAGTAGCTGAGAGTTCACTCAGGCTGGCCCAGGGGGAGAAGATCTTTCTGATTCCCATCTGCTTAAGCAGTTCATGCATCTCATACTTCTGATCTAGCTTGAACTTTGGAAAGAAAACTTCCGTATTTCTGTGGCACAAGTACATATAATGGTGAAATGTGGCCAGGAGCACTATATTTTGCATCCATTTCCCTATATTTTAAAAACAACCCAAACCCAATAGCTTTCTTTGTCCAGCAATCAGCGACCCCCAGGATGACGGCTGCTGCATTCAGGGTCTGGATTGTGAAGACCCCCAGGACACCAGGAGAACCTTAGGGGCTGGGGGTTGGCCAGCAAGAGGGCTCTGCAGGGAACCTGCCACTCCTTGCCTCTCTGTAGCCAGAGAAAGGCTGAGAGCATCTACTTATATACATTGGAATTCTCCTTCGGAACTAACTGTGTTTGGAAAGACAAATCTTCCAGGTCAAAAATAAAAAACATGAACAGTAGTAATTGACACGGCAGTGGTCTGGAAAATCTCCAGTTTCTTAATCCGTGAAGTGCTGCCAAACACTCCAGTCCCAGTTTCCCAGTGTCCTTTGGAGCATGGGATGAAATGTAAGTACACCAAGCAATGCCTGCCATGTAGAAAGAGCTGAATGGCGTGTCCTTTGGCTCCTGGCCCCCCCTCACGCTTCCTCTCTCTCACCCACATCCAGTCCCTCAGCAAATCCTGTCTCCTCACTGTCATCCCACAGCCTGAGGGGCAGCATCCCAATCCGAACAGTCACAGGGAATTGCTGGGACCTCCTGACTGCCCTACTTGCCGTCCCCCACAACAGTGTCTTTACCCAGCACAGGGGTCGTGTGGCCCCTTGAAACACAAATCAGACCATGTTGCTCCTCTGCTCGGAGTAGCGCCCCGCCCCGCCGCTCCCCCCCAACCCCGACCCCATGGCTTCTCATCTCCCTCAGGAAAAGCCTGACCCTTCTCCGGGGCCTATAACCTATGGTCCTGGGTGACTGGGTGCCCGGGTCTCTGACCTCATCTCCTTCCAGGCCGCCTTGCTGCTCCTCGGACCCACAGGGCACTCTCCCCTCCCAGAGCTGTCCCCCTTCTCCCTGCCACACCTCTCTCCCCCAGGATGCGCACAGGGTCCTGCTTCCCTTCTGGGGTTTGCTCCCCACCTGGCCCCTGCTGGCGCCCCCTCCTCCACCCCACCCCTGCCCTGCGCTTTGGCCTGTCTCCCTTCACTAGAAGGTAAACTTCACTGGGCTCATGCCGCAGTGCCTGGCGCAGGAGAACCCGGGACAGCGGAAAACAGGGCAAACGCAGCCCAGCTCTCAGGGACGGCCCCCAAGTTCACAGGGCGGGGGTGTGAGGTGGGCATTAGACCACGGGAGGGTGGTGAGAGCTGGAGGAGACTGGAAGGCGGAGCTTGGACAGGGCTGGGGACTTGCCTACCTGGTTTTCATGTTTCTCAGCCACGAGTCCACCAGGTCTGAGGTCAGGTAGTCTTCAAGGGCCAGGTGGTCCCCCATTTTCTCCATGAGGACCACCAGCATGGTGGCGTTTCCTTGGTAGGGCAGTTTGAGGACGTGGCAACGGAGGTTCTTATCGAAGGTGGAGGCGAAGGTGCCCAGCCTGAACATCATGGGCACCTTCACCGCCTTGTACTTGTTCAGGCGGAAAGTGTCTGCCTCGGTGAAGACAGGGTCAAAAGGGGTCAGCCACCTCCCTGAACGGGTAGGAAGAGAACGCACTGTGGAGACCACCCTGCTGGAGAACATCGTTCTTGCTAAAGCCATCGGCCCCCTTCCCGCGCCAGGCGAGGCAGACCCTGGAGAGGCTGGTTGTGACCACAAAATAAACTCCCCAAAGGTCAGCCTCTCCCGGCCCCTCCCTGGAGGGCAGGACACGGACCCACCCGCAGGCCCCCTGGAATCACACACAGCAGCGGGGTCGGGGCTCACCGTAATCTGATCACTGTGATCGCCCCGATCGCCCCAGCCTAGGGGACACTGCGCCTCTCCCTGCCCCTGTCTTTATGAGGGGCCCTCGGACCACCTCTGTCTAGTTACTGCTGGACAAGCAGAGCCACTGGGACAGAAGACAGGGCGTTCCCCACCCACCGCTGCCAAGAGTGGTTCTTCGAGAAGAACCTTGCTGACAAACAGTCCTGCCACCCCGGGAGGCCGCCTGCCTGTGGCTCTACACGGGCCTCCGTCCGGGGTGCGGCCTGGCCGGCGGGACCCAGGCGTGTCTCCGCGGCTTCGTGAGGCCCCAGTGTCAGCGCTCTGCTGCAGCAGCAGCCACACGAGTCCGCCGCCCCGTCAGAGGGGCAGGATGAAGGGATCTGGCTCGAGAGTGTCAGGACCCCCGGTTGCCTCTGCCGTTTGTCATGTGACCTTGATTGAGTGAACTGCTCTGAGCCTCACCGTCGTCTGTACAGGAGGTAGGAATCTCCCCATTTTTTTTATATTAAGACTCAAGGACGAGAGGCTTTGTCACTTTCTCCAGGTCACACAAGGAGAGAGTGAAGGACCAAAGCTACAATCCTAAATCTCTCGATCCTTTGCCTCCTTTCAGTGACCCATAGGGTTCCCTGTGTCAGAGCATCCGAGGCGGGCAGAGCTGTGCAGAGGTGCTTGGAAACTAAGGACGAGGAACACGTGGGTCACCACGTGGGTCACGGGAACCGAATGACTGCGTCCCGCACTCTGCCCTACACTGTCAACGCCCGTTTCAGTCTGCGTCTGAATCCTGAAAACTAGTCCTACAAAACCATTTGGTGTGAAGCACGTGCTGGCCACACAGGGAAGGGAGAGACAGACAGACAGACGAGAGACAGACCCGTGGCTTTGGGAGGGCAGAAGGTCATCAGAATACCTTTGAGCAGGATGTAATCCACCAGGATTAATTTGGTGTCCGGATTAATCTCAGCAAAGAGCTTGGGGATCTTCCCCTGCGTCTCTTTGTTGATGTAATGATTCATGAGCCCCTGGGCCTGGGAGGCATTGTGAAAATTCATCCTCACACACTCTGTATTGAAATACCTCTTGGATAAATTGAGGAAGGTCTCTTTGATATTGAAATCTTCGTGGATGAAGGCCAAGTTCCCCTGGGTGAGGCCTAGCTCCCGGTTGTGGGAGAGGCGCTCCCTGAGCCGCCAAAAGAGGGTGGGCAGGTGCCGGGGCCTGGTCCCGTTCCGGTTCTGCCGGAGCCCGCTCTCCAGCTGGGCTTTGGTCTGCCCTTCGGCCCCCATCGTCAGGGCCGCCATTGCCAAGGACAGGCCGAACGGAGAGAAGACCACATTGCCTTCATGCCTCATGGAGATCTTGCGCAGCAGGCTGAACCCCAGGTTGAAGGTGTCCTCACAGAGCTGGCGCTCACTGGTCGTCAGCCAGGGCTCCTGCTCCTCTTCCGGGGCTTGCACTCCCTGGAAGGTCTCATACTGGTCAGTGGGGGGCTGCGGAGTCTCTGGCCCTGGCTGGGCCCCTGGGGACCAGGAGCTGGGGGTCAAGCCGGGCACCAGCCACACCTGGGCCAGGAGGCAGGGGAGCAGGAGGCGCAGCGCTGCCTTCATCCGGTCAGGTCAGCCGTGGAGGCCCAAGGAGCACTTCTCTTCAGTGGCGAGACTTCCTTGGGAGAAGACAGGGCAGGATGGTTTTTAGTGCCTGTGCAGTCAGTCCCCCCTGTGTGGTGGTACGATCCCTCCAGGGACCACGCCTCCTGCCTTTGGGGGTGGGGTGGACCCGGAGCAAGGAGGGGTGCCAGCGGTTCACCTGAGGAGGAGGGGACTCTTGCAGAGTGAAACCTCCCCCATGTCCCTTCCCCTGCCAGTCCAGGGGCAGCCCTTGGCCTCCCCCAACTTCCCCACTCATTCCGCGGCCTCCCAGAAGGGGTGGATTAAAGTGGCCATGGTCTGGGTGCTGACCCCACTAGATGTGGGGCGGAGAGGCGCTGGGTCAGGAGGCTCACAGACCTTTCACCGGGCAGTTTCATTCATTGCCCTCGGTTGCTGGGCCCGACAACAGCCCATCAAGCTGGGTTTCGGGGACCTGGGGCTACGGCATGTTTGGCTGGGGATTCAGAGGGCCCAGGGAGCAATCAAAGCCAGGAGGAAGGGGGGTGCTGAGTTGCCTGCCTCTGGGATCAGAACTCTGCCCCCTGAATCTCTTCTGCAGCCCTGGGGCCCGATCACACAGCTGCCTGCAGGTCTTCCTTCCTTCACTGAACCTGCAGTCTCCAGGACAGAATGGCTAGCCAGCTTGTTCTTCATGAGGCCTGGGCTCATTGAATCCTCACAGTGACAGTGAGTCATAAAGTATGTGCTCGCTTTCGTCGCCCCAGGTGGGGCCGGCCTTCCGGCCTGGGCAGGGGTCTCCAATCCCCATGCCCCTCACCAAGAGCCGTCCCGGCTGACCACCTCTCTGGCTCCCTGGAGCCCTGGGCACGGAGCCCGGCTCCAGAGCACCTGCACATTGTCCATCCGAATGAACACTGGAGGGCGGGGCTGTGCCACCTGACAGTCTCCTGACTCCAGTGCTGGTGTTCGGGGGACAACAGCACCCCAGAGGCTAGCTGGGCAGGTCACTGAGACAGACGCAGCCTCACTCTCTCCTGAGCCCACCGCCCCAGGAGCGCCTGGCTGGGGCGGGGTCAGTCAGCCCAGCGGGCATCAGGCAGGGGAGGCTGCAGGCCTCATAGGAGTTCTTGTCAGTAGAGACCCTCGTTCTGAACTAGGCCCCCCAGAGCCGTATGTGGTGATGAGGTGACGTTCCCAGGCCTCCTCTGCCTGAGGCGGGGGGCTGTGTCCTCGTCTGTGCCTGGTACAAAATGACACGGGGCCCCAAGACTCAGTACCCTGCTCCTCTGTATGCTGAACACCCAGTAGAATGCAGCCTGAAGGCCCCCCCTTTCCCAGTGAGACACTGCTGTGCTTCTCCAATGTCAGTGTTAGGGAGTTCCGTGAGATTCTAGCCGTCACGCCCAAGTTCGGTAGCTCACTCCAGTATGGCAGATGCTGGGTCACTACCTCCTGCAGCATCCAAAGGGATCCCTGGCTCGCGCCTTCATTATGCGGGCACGCCTCATTTCACCGTGCTACCCGGACACTGCGGTCTCACCGGCCCCTCGGCAGGGCCTGCCGCCAGCAAAGAGATCGTACCTCACTGCAGGCTCGATGTTGGTCAGCATTATTTAGCAGCAAAATTAAGGTATGTATATTATTTTTAGATATAACAGTATTGCAACTTAATAGACTATGGTATGCTATAAACATAACTTTAAAAATATTTTATTTATTTTTGACAGAGGAGCAGGGAAAGAGAGAGGGAAACATGGATGTGTAAGAGAAATATCGATCAGTTGCCTCTTGCATGCCTCTAACTGGGGACCTGCCTACGACCCAGGCATGTGCCCTGACTGGGAATCAAATCGGCAACCTGTTGCTCTGTGGGACAACGCCCAACCCACACCAGCCGGAGCCAAACATAACTTTTGTCTACACTGGAGGGCCCAGAAATCCATGTGACTTACTTTACTGCCGTCTGGAACCTCATCCCCACAGTGTCTCCGAGGTTTGCCTGTGCACAGTATTTGGCACTACTTTGTAGGTTGATAGATTAATCCCACGGTAGTGTGCTCCTGAACTCTGATCACTTCTCTCTGACAGTGGTCAGGAAACCATCCCAGCACCCATTCCAGTTGCTAAGTCTCACTATGCGGCTCCTCCTTCAGTGTGGAGTGGCCACCCAGGCATTCACGGGTGCCCCACACACTGCCCCCTAAGCTCACCGTTCCAGACTCTAGACTCTAGAGCCCTCTAGACTCTACTGCATACAGAGTCTGTGCGCAGGGGCACTCCTCAAGCATCAGGGTACAATTAAGCACACTGAGGATGCGCCATCCTAAAATAGAACCCGAGTGGTAAGAAATCAACAGCTCCCTCACCGCTTCTTAGCCCTGGATGCACTTTTGCAGCACCCCCACCCAGCCCTGGCAGTGGGGGTTCACTCACCTGGGCAGGACGAAAGCCAGGACATTGAGTGTGGCTTAAACAGTGAGTGCTGTGGGCACGGACTCTCAACACTTAAACACCTCATCATCCCTTCTTCCTGCAGAGGAAGCCCTGTGTCTACGACCCACCGCTCAGCCCCATGCTGCCCTGCCCAGTGAGGGCTCGGTGCTGCCTAGGCTCCCACCCCCCACCTTAGAACCCATCCAGAAAGGACAAGGAAGCCAATGCCCATCCCTTGCTGGTTAGTCTGTGGAGGTCCCCCTTCAATATGTGGTCTCTTACCAGTGAGTGGACCCCCGGTGCCTGGGAAGGTCCTTCATTCAGGGCAAAGACAGAAGGTTGGGGTTTGTAGCCGAAAGCCCGTAGCAAATATTTACTCTTCCAAAGTACGCTGCGGCCCGTGGGACCATTACTGATTAACACCCTGCTCGGAGCTGGGGGCGTTTCCGTAAAACCAGGGACAGAGAGAAAGGTTCCCATATTGGTTCCTCCACAGGAGCTTCTGTTTCTCAACTCCACGCATTGCCCTCGTCAGATCCTGCTCCCGCTGGGACAGGGTGGTTCCAGGCGCTGGACCAACCCTGCGAAGGGCGGCACCGTGTGGGGGGTGGAGCCGAGATGATTGAGACCTGCTGCCGCCACCCTGAGGAACTTTCAGTCCAGTGGGAGAGGCGGACAGGTAAGAGGCTATGGGCAATACAGAAAGCCATGTCAAGGTCAACTAACTTCTGCACCTAAGTCATGAGCCTGGAATCCTCAAGTATCTGAAGTCAGGGCTGATGGAGACCCTTTAAGACAAAATTTCTCAGATCTATTAAGACTCTCCTTACTGTAATATAAATAGTTCACGTGCCCTTTACTGCCCTGAAGTGAAATTTATGGTTAATATAAGATATCCACAAAAAAGTTTTTAAAAGCAAAATACTACTCTGACTACAATATGGAGGGGAAATGAAAGTAAAGTATAAGAAAATAATGTTTCTTTTAACATGTAAAGGCTCTGGCATACGTCCCCTAGCAGACCGGGTGACGGTGTCAGATGTGGGGCTGCTCTGAGAGTCTGGGCGCTGCACCCCACTGTCCAGCCCTACCGTCGGAGCCACCATCGGCCATGAGGTTTTCTGTAATGGTGCATCGCGTTCAGTGAGACCCCCACCTCCAAACAACTCTTCCTCTCATTTACATGGTTGTCATCTTCATAGAAAATTCAGTGAGAATTCAAACCTCGGTGGAAAATAGTGTTTTTCTATGGAATAAAACACGTGTGGGACTGTAAGGGTCTGGGCTCAGATCACTTATGAATGGATGGGTTTTTCACCCGCATGGGCTTGACGTGGGTCATCTGAGTGATGTCACTTCATCGTGGTGGACACTCCTGAGTGTTCCACTACATCTGGCATCTCTCTCCCTTTTTCACTAAATGCAAGTAACACTCCCCAAACATTGTAGAAATCTGAAGAGCCCTTACAAGTGTCCAGAGTGTGCCTTTGGGGCAGTGTCCGCTCCGTTGCGAAGCCCTGCCTTACAGGGTCTCAGTGCAGACGGCGGGCTGGGCCCTGGTGCTCTGCTCAGCACAGGAGCTGGAGTCGGCCTGACTGCCTTGTCCCCTACAGCTGATGGACAGCACTGCAGCGGGTGAGGCAGGGCTGCTTCCTGCAGGCTTGGGGGCATGTGAGCTTCAGCCAGTGCCTGAGAGGAAGCAGCAGGGTGAGTGCTGCGGGGCACGTCAGCAGTCACTGGGGCTTCAGAAGTGACATCAAAGTAATCATGGTCCATTTGACCTTCTGGACAGCTCCTTAAACTGCTGCCATTCAGAAACGGAGCTGTATACGGAAGGCGGCAAAATGCACAGGCAAGAGTGTGAGGGTCCCTGACAGACACCCCTGGACTAGAATCCCAAGTCCTCAAGTTCCTAGCTGCCAGGCCTGAGGCATGTAACCTGACCTGTATGAGCTTGCGTCCCCTCCCATAATAAAGCAGCCAGAAGTGGGCGTCTGGCGGATGAAAATCTCAGCAGCACCCAGGGAGCAGGAAGGAGATGGGCAACATTGTTTCTCAGGAGGGGTGCCCATAAGTGGGGCTCAGAAGCTCTCCACCTTCAATGATTAGTCCTGCACTGCTCCCAGGTCAGATTCTGTCCCTACCACTGTAGCTTAAACTCTTTCACCAGACGTGTGACCCTGAGCAAGCAGGCTCCTTGACCTCCCTCTGCCTCCATTTCCTGCTCTTTTGAACGCGGCTCCTGAGGTGGAGCTGTTAGAACTGCTGTGAGGGTTCCATGAGGTCGCACCTATACAGCATGATACCTGGTCAGAAGCGCTAATGCATGGTATTTGTTGTATAATTTTGGAGCCAGAATGAACCTCAGGGGTAAGCCCAGACCCCGGATTTGGGTGTTACGGAGGAGGCAATGCAGGCCCAGGCCCACTAAGGCCTTTCCTGCCAGTGTTGGCCAGAACAGAACCCGGCCAAATGACTTGCAGTTTGCTCTGCATTTGTGCTTATCACACGTATTTGTGGAGAAAGATCGGGAAAGATCTGATAGGAAGGCCTCTGGTCACCGGAGTAAACTCAGAGGAGACAGTACCGTCCTTCCCCTAACTTTTCACAGGCAGGCGAAAGCTACCCCAAAAGGAGCGAACGAGGGGCTTCTAAAGCAAGTTCGTCCTGGAACCTACAGGGCTAACGTCTGAAAAATGACTAAGGCCAGATACTGGCATAACTAGCTTCAGAAAAAAGTGAAACAGCCGCACTTAGTTTTCGTGGGTCACAGCGAGAAAAACCTGCGCAGGGAGAAAAGAACAGACTTCTCAAGTCCTTGCAAAGCACATGCTTGCGCTCATGCGCAAACGTGCGCGCGCGCGCACAGACGCACGCACGCACGCACGCACGCACGTGCACACGCCTGGGGCAAATGCCCGGTTGTTGGCCTAGCTCAGCTCCGGTGACGCCTATCGAGATGGTAGGCGGGGATGGTTCCGTCCCCAGCACTGAGAAGCTGGTGGCCCAGGCAAGTCCTTAGTTCTCAGGTGCCCCGAGGAGCCGTACTCAGGACAGTGGCCCTCGAGGCGGGGCTAACATTCAGGTAAGGAGGAGTTAGGGCCCGCAGTCCGCCTAGCTCTATAGGCTACAGAGCACAGCTTTCTTTGAGATGGGGTCTTTCTTGGCCGGAGCCCGAAGGACCTTTGAATGGGAGAGAAAGGAGACGTTTTCCTTGGAGGGTGTTAAGAAACAGGTGCTCAGAAAGGTCAGTTAACTTGTTCAAGAACACAGAGCAGATTCTTTTTCAGCAGTATTGGAGGGGTGTCTTTAGACTAAATTCCTAAAAGTGGGCTTTCTGGAACAAAACACAATATCCCTGTCATTTTGTTACATGAATTTGGTTGAAGAGTGGTCCGCCAAAACATGTGTCCAAGTCCTAACCTGTGACTGTGACCATTCTTAGAAAAGGGGTCCTTGCAGATGTGATTAAGGTAAGGACCCAAAGATAAATAAGGTCATGCTGTGTTTGGGATGAGTCCTAACTCCAATGACATGTGTTCTTATGGAGGAAAGGCAGAGGGAGATTTGAGACACAGACAGAGGACGACAAGGCCACGTAAAGACAGGGGCAGGGAGTGGAGTGTGTATTTACAGCCAAGGAACCTAAGGACTGCGGGCAGCCCCCGCACCCCCGCCCCGAACCGGGAGAGAGTCCTGGGATGGATTCTCTCTCAGAGCCTCCAGAAGGAATGAGCCCTGCAGGCAGAGGCCTTGGGCTCTGACTTTTGCCCTCCAAAACTGTGAATGAATTTATTTATGTGTTTTTGAAAATTCTATTTATTTATTTATTTATTTATTTATTTATTTATTTATTTATTTATTTATAAAGAGGGGAAGGGAGGGAGGAAGAGAGGGAAACATCAATGTGTTTACCTCTCACGCGTCCCCTACTGGGGACCTGGCCCACAACCCAGGCGTGTGCCCTGACTGGGAATCCAACCAGCACCCGTTTGGTTCTCAGGCCGGCACTCAATCTCTTGAGCCACATCAGCTGGGGCTATTTCTGTGTTTCAGACCACCTACATTTGGTAATTTGTTCCATCAGTCTTAGGAAACGAGTATATTATATATCGCCAGATTCCCTTCCTTAGAGGAATTTTTGCATTTCCACTAGCAACGTGTGAGCATGCCAGTTCCCACATGATCAATAGAAGTGTGTTGTGAAGCTTTCATATTTTTTCCATCTGATAGACAGGAAACGGTATCTCAGTATAGTTTTAATTTGCATTTTTTAATTAAAGTGAAGTTGCACAGGTTTTTATATGTTTAAGCATCATATATTAGGGATATTCGTGCTTTATCAGTGACATATATTGCAATTATTTCTCTCAAGTTTTCATTTCTGTTGATTTTGCTTATCAATTTTTGACCATGCAATTAAACAGATTTTTATATAGTCAAGTTTGTCAATTCTTTCTTTGATTTCATCTGGACTTTGAGTCATGGTTAGAAAACCTTTTTCTACACCTAAATTATAGAGGAATTTACTAGTGTTTTTTCTAGTACTTGTAGTGTTCCTTTTTTTTCTATTTAGATCTCTGATTTTTAGTTTATTTTTGTTTTTAGTATAAGGGAGAGGTCTAATATTATCCCTCCCCCTCACTGCTATTTATTTGTCCCAATATCATTTACTTAAAAGTCCTTCTTGATCAAATATTAAATTTCCAATCTATTTTAACTGCTAATCTATTTTACTGGTAGTCTTATTCATATACCAGGTCACAGATTTAATTAAAGAATTTGTGGTATAGGCTTTATATCTTTCTGGTCAGGCTAATCCCCTACCCTTCTATCTCCCCTCACCCATGCTATCTTTTTTTGGCTAGTCTCTCTGGCTAGTCTTGCATGTTTATTTTTCTACATGAATTTTGTTATCATCTTGTCTATTTATTTTTCTACATGAATTTTGTTATCATCTTGTCTGTCTCCAGAAAAAAACTGTTAGTGTTTTTATCTGAATATCATTAAATGGTCAAAATAGAGAATACTGATATCTGAATGATGTTGAAGCATCTTATTCAGGAATATCATTCTATTTGTTCCAGTCTAATCTTGCATCTTTAAGAAGTATTTTGTAATTTCTGATATAGGTTGAGTACATTTCTTGCTTATTTCTAAGTGATGAAAACTGTGGTTCTTGTGTGTGAATTCATTTTCCTGATATCAGGCTGAATGTTTTCATTGTTTTGTCATTGATTTGCCAGGGTTAAGCAGGTATATTACATTTCACCTAAAAATAGAGTTTTACTTCATTCTTTCCAATTCTACACTTCTGCTTTCTCTCTCTAATTGCATTGTCTAATACCTCCAGTAATAGATGTAATAGATGTAGTAGATGTAATAGATGTAATGGTGGTAGATATAATGAGCAGCTTTGTCTTACTCTTGACATTAGTTAGAATGCATTTAGTGTTTTTTACTAAGATGATGGCTTTAGGATTCAAGTTCCTAATATATATGGTATAAATAGTATATTTAAGGAAGTATCCTTCAATTCTTATTTTTAAGATACATGCTTATCCATCCATCCATTTATCTATCATCATATCTATTTATATGTGTCTTTGTCAGTCGGTCAGTTTGGTTCTTTATCTCAATTAATACTTTTTGCCCTTAACTAGGAGGGTAACACCTCTTCCTCTTGCAGTGTCACTCTACTGCCCTCTACTGGCAGTTCAACATCATGCCCAGCAAGGCAATGCAAACATGTTTAAAAGGTTCAGATTCATTTTTGTAGAGAGCAGTAAAGGGAGGGTTTGGAGTTGAGACACAATAAATGGATAACTTTTTCTGCATTAAGCAGCGCTATATTTTAAAGACATTTAAAAATATTTTATATTTATTCACATATGTATTTACCCTTTGCAGTACACCTCATCGTTTCATATGGGTCCAAGTTTCCATCTAGAATCATGCTTTTTTTTGGCTTAAAGTACTAGTTTATTTTTGTGTGTGTGAAGGTGATAAAGTTTCTCAGCTTTTCTTTGTCTGGAAAAAATGTTTATTTTTGACTTTGTGAAGACTTGTTTTTGCTTTCTTTTTTTTTCCTCTTTGAAAGATATTATGACGTTATCTCCCTAGCACTTTAAAAGTGTCTTCCTGTTGTATTTTGGCTTACCTGATTTCTTGTTTTTAAAATTTCTATTTAGAAATAAGTTCAAACACACAAAAAAATTTTAAAAATAATAGTGCTTTTATGTACCCTTCACCCAACTTCCACATAGTATTGTATCACTATAGTGCAGACGACAGATGACAGCGATTACACTGGTGCTCTATTATGTGGATGCTGTTCACATTTTCTCAGTTGTCTCACCTTCCTCCAAAATACTGTCATCAGTCGCAGTGCAACTTCACAGAGGACAACCTGGAGAAGCCTGGGGGGACTCTCCACCATCACTTCTGTGGGGTCCCTGGAACCTAAAGTCAGACTATGCTCTGGCTCTTGGGATTCACAACCTTGACCAGGAAAAGGCTGCTCCATGTGAAGTTGTCAAAGACCATGACAATGAAGGGCTGGTTGAAGTGAATGGTGCGAGGCCCAGAAGTTATGTTTCTGGTGACTACAGGAGGGGCAGTGGCCTTCACACCCTTCTCGTCCAGGTGCAGCCCGGCCTTATGGACCACCTGTTGGGATGGACCAAAGGTGGTGGTTGAGCACCTACTATGTGTTGTTGGGAGCTTCCCCTGCTTGTTGCTTGGGCTCCTCCCACCCTTGGTTTTATGGATGGTGAAGCTGAGGTTCAGAGGTCTGCACCCAGACTTCCTCCTTAGGAAGCAGGCAGGTAGAATCCACCACATGCAGGTTTAAGAGTCTCATGGCCCCAGCTGGACCTTCCTGGGCCCTGGGCTGGTAGAGGGAGCTTTCGCTCCCTTTTCACTCTGCTGGGTAAATACTGGGCGTCAGTTCGTGCACAGTGCTTGTGCTTACTCTGTATGGAAAAGGGTCATCTCTGCATTGTTGTGAACAAAATTAGAAGGAATTTTGAAACTGGCAAGATGCTTGAGAGGCTTGTATCAAAAGCCTCCAATGGTAAGGATTGGCTACTTTATGTAACCACGTCCCGTGGAGCAGGGACTCTGGCTGACTGCACAGCAAGAAATTGGGGGCCTGGGTGGCTCTGGGCATAGGTGCCTGGCTAGAAAGGTGCTGAACTGGGGTAGGAACCCTAGCTGTGTTCTGGGGAAATGAGATTTTGAGTGGAAGGGATCCTAGGTCACGTGTCAGGCTGCTGTTTACCAGCTCTCTGGCTTTGATGAGTTATCTGCCTGCCCTGAGCCAGAGAGCCCTCCTCCAAGATAATACCCAATGGTCAAGATCCGTGTGCTGGAGCGAAGGGACTGCTGCCAAATACCACCTTCTCCTGTTCCCGCTCTTGTTTGCCACCCTCAGGACTGTACGGTCCTACGGGGGTGGGGCCTGGCATAGTTTGGGGCACATTGTAGATGTTCAATGAATATTTGCTAAATGACTGTATGGATGAATGAATAATAGAGTAAAAAGCTGGTGAAGTCATGAATGTAATTGGGTAGAAGATTCAGTGTCATCTCGTTTGACAGTTTCCACTTTCCCAGATTCGTTTAGCAGGGGTCTGTGTTGGGCTTGCCACTATGCCTTTGTTTTGCACAGCCCCCCTCTGTGTGGCCTGGCGGAATGGGGGGACACCCAGGCTGTGGTCCTCCCTTGTCACTAGCTTCCTGTGTAACCTTGGGGACAGCACATTTTCTTGATGAGCCATTACGTAGTCTGTTGTAAAACTATGGGCGTGGACAAGACCTTGGGCTCTCAGCCTGGGGCCTACAGGCCTTTTTATAACTGGGCTCCATGTGACTTATAATTTGTATTGTTCATTTTTAGGAAAATAAAGGTAGACTCTGGAGACACGTACCTTTGACAACTTCAGCTGGGCCTCTTGGGTGATGCCTGAGAAATTGGCCTGGTTGCTGAACACTTCTCCAAAGCCCATGACCTTCAGGAGGGCTTCAAGGTCATAGGCTCCAGTGATGGAGACCTTGGGGATGTACAGGTCCACCTGGCTGTTCAGGGGGAAGCAGATGGGGTTAGACTTCCCAGGGCTGGGCCTGGCCAGTCAGATTTTCTGTAATCCCTGCAGACACTAGCTCCTAGCTAGACTTCTCTGGGGACATGGGTGGGGCCAGGGCCAGGGCCAGGGCCAGATCTGCCTCATCTGCCTCTCCCTCTACCACATAGGCAGCTTCCTCTTGTGCCTCTGAATTGCCAAGTCTTATTTTCTCGGCTCCTTCTTTGAGCTGATTCCACCCGGATACAGCTGGACCACTGGACAATGAAGAAAAGGGTCCCTAAAGAAGTCCTTGTGGTGTCCCTGCCAGAAGTGGAGGAGGAGAGAAGTATGGGAGCAGGGTCCTGGCCCCAGATGTGCCACCAATGCTGCGTGACCTAGCCAGAGCTTGTCCTCATCTGCACAGCCAGGCAGCACAGAGCACAGCTGCCCTCGTGGCCCCTCTGGGATTGATTCTGTGAGAATTCCATGATTTGGCTTGCAGTTCCCATTGGGTAGAACTGGTGGGGTTTCAAGAAAGTTAAGTGGTATCCTGCTGGGAATGGGATGCTAACTGTTTTTACCTATCAAGGTGCTAATTTCATTTAAATCTTCCTTTTCCTACCCTGCAAAGGGAGAGAAGATGCCTGAAACCCTGAGTCTGAGGGGCATCAGGTAAAGGACTGAGCCCCACAGCAGGCTGGGGAGGCAGGCGGCCTCACTGCACTGACCTCTGCGGCCCTGCAAGGCCTGGAGGCTCTGAGCAGCTAGCAGGAAGTTGGAGACGTCACTCAAGGGGACTGAGGGGGAGCCGCAGGTGAGCAGGGTGTGTAAATTCGCCTCTGGGCTGGGAGAGAGACAGCAGCAGAAAGGGAGGCGGCCCTATACCACACGCCTGGCGCACCTGCTTTACCTTCTGTTCCTCATCTAGTCCACACTTGCCCACACGACCCCACCGAGTCGGGTCCACGTCTTCAGTGTCCAGAGTGAGAGACTGAACTCCAGCGAGGCTGAGGGATTCCCCCAAGTGCCCCCACTGGGAACAGCAGGAATGTGAGAAAACCAGTGGCCTCAATGCCTCATCTCCTCATCCCTGGAGAGCAGCCCACATGACACAGTGCTATGGGTGGGTGAGTGGCGGCAGGACAAGGGGACAGAGAGGAAGGAGAGAACATGTGAGCTCTGTGAGTGGGGCACAGAGGCTTCCTGTGGGAGGAGGGTATAAGCTGGGCCTGAGGGTGCTGGCTTGGTGCCCTGGGGAGTGTGGCAGGGGTGGGGTTGCTGAGAGGGGAGGCTGAGGGACTGAAGAGTCTGTCTGCTGGGACTGGGCAAGCCCTGTTTGGATGGGGAAGAGAATTATTCATGCCCAGTCACATATGAGGCGGGAACAAAAAAAACCCCAGAATTCTCTTCTGGAGGACAAGCCCCTTGTAGTACAGGCTTCCGCCACTAGGTGAGTCTTCTAGGACCCCATCTGTATCAGTATACTAGCTGGTGTTGTTGTGAGAGGCTGCGTTTGGCTTCAGTGAAAAAAAATTTTAAGACTCTTTCAGTGCCTTTGCCCATTTCAAGATGGGTGATTTATGAGCACATCTGCCCACACTGCACTGAGTGTTTCAGTGATTTTTGACCAAAAATGGCATGACTCCTTTGCCTCACCCTCCCTCCTATTCACCCTATCTCTCCCCGCCAAGTGATGTTGTGCCATTGATGAATTGTAAGTTAAAGTAGTTTAGCTGAGAGATTATTTTGGCATCAAGAAAGATTGTCCACCTCATTTGCAATATATCAGGACCCAGAACTTGTTAGAATCACGGCGCATCATCAGCACCTGGTGGCAGTTTCCCTTGGTGGCGGGTGAGGTGGGGGTGGGGCAGTCAAAAAGGTAAAGAGCTGGCAAATGGGTCCCTGCCTGCCACGGACGCTCGCCAGTCTCTTTCTCCTTATTCATTTATTACCAACTTTTTTTTAACCTACTTTCCTGATTTTTTTAAACTTATTGATTGATTGATTGAAGAACAGTTAGATCCCATGGTGGATATTATGGTCATTTCCATTATATCTTTAAATCAGGGTTGTCAAACTCAGTTTCACTGGGGGCCACATCAGCGTCGTGGTAGCCTTCAAAGGGCTGAATGTGTATACATGTAACAACTCCCTAACAGTTAAGTGGGAGCTTGGTGATGTTGCCGGTAGAAACAAGGTGTCAGACCAGATAAAACAAGGCGCAGGGCTGGATTCAGCCCGGGGGCCTTGTGTTTGCCACCTGAGCTTTCAATGGAATGTCTCGGGTGTCTTTAGCAGTGCTTGGCTTTAGGTAAAGGAGAGAATAAAGTGGATGAATATTAGTCTGGGTGATCGGTGAACTCTGTCTAAGAAAATGACGCAAAAATGTGATAACACAGAGGGCTGCCATTAACCTCCCAGGGACCTCCCTTTTTGGAATGCCCCAAAGTATCTCCGTGTCAATCAACAGATAAATAAATGAGTGTGACTTCTAGGTCAGAGGACTTCTCGGTCAGGGATCCTCATGGCCTTTGGAGACTAGCCGACAGGAAAAGAAAGAGCCTGGGTGAGTCTGGGGCAAGAGGGCACCCAGGTGCACCCCTGCCCACCCACCCCACTCTCTGGGAGCACATCCGTCTCAGAGGCGCGCATGGCCGGCTGGGAGGCTCACCCACTGGTCAGGGCGTCGGACCACCTCTGAATGGTGTCCCGGCTCAGCGCGTTGATGACGGTGTCTATCTTCCCTTTCTCTGGAAGGATGAAGAACACGGTCTCGTTGCCCATGTAGTCCAGCTGCACCAGCTGGCACGGGAGCACTGAGTCATTCAGGTACTTGATCTTGCTTGATTGGAACATCATGGGCACCTTCACCAGGGTCGACTCGTCCACGTAGAAGTTCTCCTCCCTGGTACTCTCCAGGTGGAAGGGGTGCGCCCATATGCCTGGGAAGAGGTGGGAGTGGGAGGGCAGGAGACAGCAGTGAGTGCAGGAGCTTGGGGGCAGCTGAGCACCAGGGGTAACTGCTAAGCAAGGCACGGAGCAGCCTCCCTCTGTGCACTCGAGTTTGCTGGTAAAGGGGAACTCCATTTTAGGGGTTTGAGGCCTTTTCCATCTTCTACCCTTGTGATGAATTTAGAATTAACCTGTTTCTGAGATTGACCCCTAAAGAATGAAGGAGGGTGTGGATGAGAGAATGCTGGCCCTAGGATTTGGAGGTTCAGTAAATGAGATTCAGTAAATCAGACTCTGCCTTGTCGCCCCCACCTGAGTGGATCCTGGACTGAAGGGGTGTGGAAGAGGTGTTGGATCTCAGGCTGAAAAGTCAAGGTCAGGGGCAGGGGGAGGTTTAGAGGAATGGACCATCCATCTCATCCCCACCCCTTGACGTCTGTCCTGACCACCAAAGCCCAGCAGATGGCCTGGCTGCCTCATCGACTATACCCACTCTCCTGCAGGAGGCTCCTGACCTCCCTTGTGGCCCAGAGGGCTACATCACCTTCCTGGAGCAGAGTCAGGGTGAGAAGATCCCTTCAAGGCCAGCCCCAACCCCTCTGTAAGGGCTAGTAATGGAGACAACAGGGAGAGGCTAGAGGCTGCATGGAAAGGAGCTACCGAAGCGGAGCCTGGAGACCCCGGAGCTAATACTGGTCCCTCCCTAACAACTGAGTGTGAACTCATGGTCTGACTGTCTCACAGCAAGTGAGAGAACTTGATGATTCTCAAAGTATCCTCCAAAGGAAGTCTGGGTCCTCAGAATGGAAGAGGCTGGTGTTCTGTGACTAACTTGTCCAATTCACAGCAAAAAGAATGTGCGTTGAATATTTTTTAGTGCTAGGTTTTCATCCTTGTAAGTATACTGTTTGCTTTTTTACTGCATATTTCTTTTCTAGAAGCAAGCATTCCATATCCAGTTTGGCACGAAACAACATACCAAATGGGGTCTAAGGTCCACTTTAAGGGATTTCTTCTTGGAAGTGTTTAGGCCAGGAGAACTCGTGGTAGAGCAACTTAAAAACTTATGGGGAAAATCAGAGAAGCAAGGATGAGTCCCCTGGAGAGTCTTTTAACAATGTTTTTAATTGTTCTCCAAAAAAGAGCTGTGAGGATAGCTCACTAAGGAAGGAGCACGCCAGGGACACATGACATGTGCTAAGACCAGTGGTGGCGGCAGCACCGTTCTTCATGTCCATTCTCCTGGCTTGCTGGGAATGTCTCGGGGTCTCCCCCAGCTTAAACGGGGCTCGCCAGTTAGTTCTACTGCATCACAGAAAACCTGTGCTCAATAAGGTAGCCCGCACCTGTCAGCGTCCTGGCTTGCATCAAAGCCTCTCTCATTTTATTAACAGGAACCATTGTTTCCCATCAGCTCAGCCCTGCGGTGGCAGCGGGAACCCAGAGGAACTGTGAGAGAGAAGCCCCCGCCAAGTGGGCTGTGCTGTGTCAGCACCTGTCCCGCCAGCCCCCCTGAGGCTCCCCTCAGGCTCAGGAGGGCCCTCCCTGCACTTGGGTTTGCTGGGCTTCTCGCCTGGGGCTGCGTGGCCAGAACCTCAGTGCAACCACTGTTGAGCCCTTTCCAAGTGCCAAATATTATGGAGAGGCACTGGGGCCACCACAGAGGCACGGATGCGTGCACAAGACTGCAAGTCTAGTGGGAGAGATGGCCTGTGGGGTGCGTGGAAGCACCAGTAACATTTCCAGGCAGGCGTTTCCAGTCTCTTTGGACCTCCCGCTGTCAGCTGTAAAGAATGCTGCCTTTTGTATGGAACTGCAAAGACCCTAAGTAGTCAAAGCAATCTTTTGTTTTTAAGATTTTACTTATTTTTAGAGAGAGAGGAAGGGAGGGAGAAAGAGAGGGAGAGAAACATTAATGTGAGAGAGAAACATCAATTGATTGCCTCTTGTGTGTGACCAGAGGGGAGACTGAACCCATGACCCAGGAATCAAACTGGAAACCTTTCGTTTTGCTGGACAGCGCCCAACCAACTGAGCCTCACCAGTCAGTGCAGCCAAAGCAAACTTCAAAAAGAAGAACAAAGTTGGATGCATAACACAGCCTGGTTTCAAACTATATTATAAAGCTATAGTAATCAAAACAGTATGGCACTGGCGTAAGAATAGACATGTAGACCAATGGAACAGAGTTGAAAGCATAGAAATAAACCCTCACGTATATGGTCACCTAATATTTGACAAAGGGAGCCCAGAATACTCAGAAAGATAGTCTCTCCAATAACTAGTGCTGGGAAGACTAGATGTTCACATGCCAGAAAATGAAACTGGACACCTGTTTCACACCACTCACAAAAATCAACTCAAAATGGATCAAAAACTTAAGACCTGAAACCATAAAACTCCTAGAAGAAAACATAGGAAAAAAGAAACTTCCTGACATTGGTTTTGGCGTTGGTTTTTAAGATGTGATACCAAAAGCACAAGCAACAAAAGAAAGATAAAGAAGTGGGACCACATCAAACTAAAAAGCCTCTGCACAGCAAAAGGTACGATCAACAAAATGAAGAGGCAGCCTGCAGAAAGGAGGAAAATATTTGCAACCCATATATTGGATGCGGGGTTAATATCCGGATTATATAAAGGTGTCATGCTATGCGACAGAAAAAAAAAATCCCTCAAAGTGGGTAGGGGGCTTGAATAGATATTTTTCCAAAGAAAATATAAAAATGTCCAATGAGTACTTGAAAAGGTGTTGGACGTTGCTTATCACTAGGTGAATGCAAGTCAAGACCACGGTGAGATGCCACCTCACACCATTAGCACAGCCGTCACATAAGATGAGCCAAGACCTGGTGAGAGTATGAAGAAGATGCAACCCTGTGCCCTGTGGGCGGGAATGTAAATTAACACAGCCATCGTGGGAAACAGCACGGAGTTTCCTCGGAAATTAAAAATGGAGCTGCCGTATGATCCAGCAGTTCCTCGTCTGGGGACACATCTGAAGATGATGAAATCACTGTCTCCAAGGGACACCCCCACTCCTGTGTTCACCGCGGCCGATTCCCAGCAGCCAAGACATGGAAACAACCTAAGGGTTTATCAGCAGGTGAGTGGATAAAGAAAATCTGCTATGTGTACACAATGGAATATTATCCAGCCATAAAAAGAAGGGAATCCTGGCACTTGAGACACTATGGATGAAACTCGAGGGCATTAGGTTAAGTGAATTAAGTCGGACAGAGAAAGACAAACACTGTGTGACCTCACATGCACGTATGTGCAATCTCAAAATTTAGAACTCGCAGAAACGGAGAGTAGAACGGTTTCAGGGCGGCGGGCTGGGGGGTGGTGCAGGTGGCCGAGGGGAGCAGACTTCGGTTACGAGACGAGTAAGTTCTGGGGATCTAACGTGCGGCGTGGCGACTAGTCAGCAGCGCTGGACTGTGTACTTGAACGTCACCGAGAAAGAAGGTCTTACGCATTCTCAACACACAGCACACACACACACACAAAGGTAACTGTGGGAGGCGACGGATGTGTTAAGTAGCCATATTCTGGTAGTCATCTCACAATATGTTACATGTATCCAGTCATCATGCTCTGTGCGTGTGTGCGTGTGTATATATGTGCATACCTTGAACTTACACAATGTTATAAGTCAACTATGTCTCAGTGAAGCTGGGGATGAAATGAGTGCTGTCATTGCCAGTCAGTCTGTCACCCTCGTCACTCTGCCAGGAGGGAGGCCTCTGCCCGGAGGGTCCCAGACCGGGGCTGGAGGATGAGCAGAGACCCTGGAGGCAGGAGGAGGGCTTCCTGTGGTGCCGAGACCACCCAGGGCCAGAGAGCTGGGGGTGGGAGGGGGCTGAGTTGACTAATGGGAGGCCTGCATGAGAGCCCGGGAGGGGAGAGAAGGGCACATGAGGAGGCCACTGGGGATCATGATTTGGGTGATCGTTAGTGTTGGTGACAGACACATGTTAAGTATTGTAATTACTTGTTTTTCTCTGTTTCACCTGCACTTATTTGACTATGACTGCTTAACTGAAAGTTACCTATGTGGGTCCAAGGGGTTACAAGTTCTAACAAGAAGATTGTTAAAATGAGGTGTGGGAAAACTTCAGAGGGTGTACATGAGGAGCAAGGATTTGCCTGAGGAAATCAGGGGAAGCTTCATGGAGGAGGTGACTTTTGAGCCAAGACTTGGGAAGAAGTTTTAGGTAGTTGAATAATTTGAGGGAGGGCTCAGGGGACCAAAAGGGCATGGGCTTGTGGCAGGAAGAATGGTCCCCCAAAGATGTCCATGTACTAATCCCTGGAACCTGTGAGTATGTTAGGTTGTGTATAGCAAGAGGAATTAAAGCTGTTAATCAAGCAACATTGATGAGAGGAGATTATTCTGGATTATCGAGGGGGGGCCCAATGTAATCACAGGGGACCTTAAAAATCGCAGAGGGAGACAAGAAGGTCAGAGTCAGAAAGGAGATGTGGTGACAAGCAGATGCAGGGCTGACGCCCTGGCTGTGAAGAGAGACAGGGCCATGAACCAAGTACAGCTGACATCTAGAAGCTGGAAGAGGCAAGGGACAAATTCTCTCCTTGTCTCTTAGACCTCCACAAGGGATTAACACTGTGACTTTAACCCAGTGTGGCTGTTTGTGGACTTCTGACCTTTGGAATTGTATTACAGTAAATTTGCATTGTTTTAAGCCACCAAAATTACAATAAAGTGTTCCAGCAGCAATAGGGAACTCACACAGGCTTCTACGGGGACGGCCATGCTCAGGGACAGCCATGCTCAAGGACACAAAAGGAATTTGGTGTGGGTGGACATTGTGCGTGCGTGTGTGTGTGTGTGTGTGTGTGTGTGGTGAAAATGTTGACACAAGGCTGCAGAGGACAGAGAAGCAGGTGACTCTGGGTCAGGGTCTCTCAGCCTTGAGACTATATCCTTTTGGGGGCAGATATCACTGTGGGGGCTGGCTTTGTGCCTTTTAGGGTGTTCAGCACCCCTGGCTTCTACCCAATAGATGCCACTCCAGTAGATGCCAGTAGCACACCCCACCGTCCCTGCCCCACCCCACCCCTAGTCCCGACACCCGCAAATATCTCTAGACATTGCCAAGTATCCCTGAGGGTGGATGGGGATTGAGAACTAAGGAGTTCAGTTTTTTTTCCCTTAAGGATAATATATCTACAAATTGTCTCATTGTTGCAATGATTAGGAGAGGGGGCCTTGTTAAAAGTACCAATTCTAGGACTTCCCGGGGAGGTTTTGCTCTAGTAGGTCTGGTGTGGGGTCTGGAATCTACACTTTTAATAAGTCTCTCTGGTGATATTTATGTCAGGTGCTTTGGAAAACCTGTTCCAAATGGGAGGACTGAAGTTTGGCAAGGGCGGAGCCTGGTCAGAGCTGGCTGCGAGCACTTGGGAAATGCGCATGTGACCATTTGGGGGCAATCTGAGGGTTCCCGAGGTCTGTCTGGTTCCTGTCCCCCGCGCAGTGCCTGACTCACAGCGGGGACTGAGCCCACGTTTGTAGAGTATGAGGCAGCTAGACGGTTCATGGCTACATGTTGGGACCTCAGACCAGCCTGTAAGAGTTTGGGTAAGCCACTCAACTTTTCTGGTTGTCATTTGGTCTTTTGTAACATTATATAATTCCCGCTTCCTAGTAGGCTTATGGTGAAGATGGAGACTCACAGACTGCATGTGCATTGTAAAACAGAAGGCTTTGCGCAAGAGTGTGCTCTGGGTTTCGGTAGCTATTACCACTCTTGGCGATGGTGGATGGGGTCTTGTCAGAATGGAATGTGTAGGGTTACCTTTGAAGAAGATGTAGTTGACCAGGATGAGCGTGGCTGGGCTATCCCACTCCGAGAACAAGTCCACAGTTTTCTCTTGTGTCTTATTCTTGATATACTCATTGATTTGCTTACTGGCTCTGGCCCAGTCCTGGTCTATAGCCAAGGTGTCCAACTCATAATAAAGCTTGGCGTCTGCTGAGAATGACTCTAGAAGCTCTAGGCTCTGGTTGAGGAAAAAGGCATTGCCCATGGTGGTGTCCAACTCCTTGAGGAGGTGATGTAGGTACTGGAAGTTCTGGTGGATCTTAGCTTCAGGCATCTCAGTTAGATTGAAGCCCAGGCCTTGGAGAAGCTGGGCCCTTGTGGAGCCGCAGGCACCCAGAGAAAGCATAGCCAAGGACATGGAGATGCTCACGGGAGAGATGAAGATGTTCTCGCCAGGAGCTGAGGCCACTAGGTGCTTATACAGGTCAAAGGCAAAGTCAACATTGTTTGGAGCTAGGTTCCGGTGTTGGCTTCCGATGCTCATGTCAGTATTTGGGTCCTTAGCCTGGACAGTCCAGAGGCCACTGGTGGACAGCCACAGGAGATAAGCACACAGGGAGAGCAGCATGGTTCAGGATGGCTCGGCCCTGCACAATCAGAAATGCTCATTAGATGATGCAGGGCACCCACGGCACTGGGGTGTGGTGGAGCACTGGGCAGAGGTCCCCGTCCAATCCCCAGTTTCTTCTTCCACATTGACCTTTGTGACCTGGGGCCAGTGGAGACTCTGGGCCTCAGCTTTCTCATCTGAAAGTAGAGATTACACCTGCTAGGATTTATCAGGTATCTGTCAGGTGCCCAACATTGATCTACATGTTTTGCCTATATTTTCTCATCTACCCCCCAAACAAACTAATAAAATAGATAATTATTCTGATTTTAGATAGCCAGAAACATAGGCCCAGAAAGCTTAACATCAACCCTATCAATATATTCTAAGTATTGGGGGAAAAAAAACCACTGTCAACCAAAATTCTATGTGTGGCAAAACTGTCCTTCAAAAAACAAGGGAGAAATGAAGACATTCCAGGTAAACAAAAAGACAGTTCATTACCACTAGGCCTCCTGGCAAGAAATGCCGAAGGGAGTCCTTCTGATTGAAATGAAAGGACACTAGAGAGTGAACAGAACCTTTATAAAGAAATAAAGGTCTCTGGTAAAGGTAAATATATGAGCAACTGTAAAAACTAGTATTATTGTAATTTTGGTTTGTAACTCCACTTTTATTTTCTATATGATTTTAAAGACCAAAGCATAAACAGCAATTATTAATTTATGTTTTCAGATGTACAGTTAATAAAGATGTAATTTTTTGACTTAAATGATGTGGGGGATGAAGCTATATAGGAATAGAGTTTTTATATGAGAGTGTTATAACTTAAGGATGTTAAATGTCATTTCTTTAGTAATCATAAAGAAAATATAGAATATACACAAAAGGAAGTGAGAAGGGAATTAAAACGTTTCACTGTAAAAATATCAACTATAACCCAAAATAAGACAGTAGTAATGCAGGAAATGAGGGGGAATGCTATAAGGTATACAGAAAACAAATAGGAAAATGGCAAAAGTATGTTCTCCTTATTAGTAATTATTTTTAGTGTAAATGGACAAAATTTTCTAATCAAAAGACAAATTAGCAGAATGGGTTTAAAAAGGATGATCCAACTATATGCTGACTCCAAGAGACAAATTTTTTATCCAAAGACAAAAATATTAAAATGAAAGATTGGAAAAAAGTATCCCATGCAAATATTCATCAAAAGAGAGTGGTGGTAAGGTACCAGAAGGAAGGAAACAATAAATATTAGACCACAGAAAAATAGAGAATAGAAAAACTAGAGAAAAATTAATGAAACTAAAAATATATCTAACCAATAAGTTAATATAGTCATATATAATAATAATCTACAAGAAGATTAACAAAATCAAGAACTTTTTAGGTAGACTGAGTAAGAAAGAAAAAGGGAAGTCTCAGTTACTAAAATCAGAAATGAAAGTAGGGATATTACTATTAATTCTATAGAAATAAAAAGAATTAGAACATTATGGAAAAATTACACATCAAAAATTGGATTATCTAGATGAAATGGAAACAATTCTAGAAACATAAAACATACCAAGACTGAATCACAACGAATTAGAAAGTCTGAATAGACCTAAAGGAGTTAGAAAATGGAATCAGGAATTGAAAACCACCCAACAGGAAAAGGCTGGGACCACATAGCATCATTGCCGAATTCTACCAAACACTTAAAGAACGCACGCGGATTCTCTTGAAACTTTTTTTAAAAATTGAAGAGGTGGGAATACTTTCTAATTCATTAATTGCCCTGATACCAAAGCCAGATAAAGACATTATAAGAAAACCATTATAAGAAAGCCATCATAAGAAAACTACAAAATCTTCAACAAAATACTAGCCAGTAGAATTCAGCAGCACAGTAAAAGGATTACACATCATGACCAAGTGGTGTGTAATCCTGGAATGCAGATAGATCCACGCACAAAAGTCAGTGTGATGTAATTACACTGTCAGAATGAAGAAAAAAACCACACGGTAAAAACATTCAGCAAACTAGGAATAGCAGGAAACTGCCTCCACATAACAGACACCATATGGGAAAAGCCCACATCTAACATTACACTCAATGGCGAAAGATTGAAAGCTTTCCGTGTAAGATTTGGAACAAGACAGGATGCCTGCTTTTGCCTTTTCTATGTAACATAGTTCTGGAAGCTTTAGAGCAGTTAGGCAAGCAAAAGAAATGAAAGGCATGCAAATTTTAAACGAAGAAGTAAAATTACCTGTGTTTACCATACTAGGTAATCTTACATGCAGAAAACCCTAAAGATTCCACAAAACACCTGATAGAATAAATAAATTCAGCAAAGTAGCAGGATACAAAATCAACACATAAAGATCAGTTCTGTTCCTATATGCTAACAATGAGCAATCTTAAAAGAAGATCAAGAAAATTTCACTCACAACAGTGTCAAAAAGAGTAAAATACTTAGGAGTTAACATAGCTCAGGAGATGAAAGACAAATATGAAAAGTAAACAAAATTGCTGAAAGAAATTGAAGATATAAATAAGTGGAAAGGCATCCTGTGTTCATGGATTAGAGGACTTAATATCTTTAAGATGTCAATGCTACCTGAGGAGATCTGCAGATTCAATGCAATCCTTATCAAAATTCCAGTGAGGTATTTTGAAGACACAGAAAAATCCACCCTAATATTCCTGCAGTGTCTCAAGGGACTTTGAGTAATGAAAATAGTCTAGACAGAAGAACAAAGTTGGAGGTTCAAACTTTCTGTTTCCAAATTTACTATAAAGCTACAATAATCGGAGCAGTGTGATACCGGCATAAGGCAGACATATGGAGACCCATAGGATAGAATAAAAAGGCCAGAAATAGACCCTGGTATGTATCGTCAAATGATTTTCGACAAGGGTACCAAGACCGTTCAACAAGGAAAGGACTTTTCAACAAATGGTGTTGGAAAACTGGATATCTACATGCCAAACAATGAAGCTGGACCCTTAGACTTTATCCCATAATATAAAAATTAACCCCAAATGAATCAAAGACTAAAGGTAAAACTCAGAAGAAAACCCAACAGAAAAGCTTGATGATATTGGAATTGGCAGTGATTTCTTGGATATGATACCAAAGATATAAGCAACAAAAGAAGAATGGAATAAACTGAACTCCATCAAAATAAAAAATGTTTGTTCATTAAAGGATACTATCAAAAGAGTAAAAAGATAACCCACAGAATGAGAGAAAATATTTACAAGTCACATACTGATAAAGGATTAATATCTGAAGATAAAAAGAACTAAAATCTCAAGTACAAAACTACAAGAAAGACCCAACTCAATTCAGAAAATGGGCAAAGAACTTGAATAGACATTTCTTCATAGAAGATATACAAATGGCAATAAGCACAAGACCTACAACCAAGATTGCTCTATCCAGCAAAGCTTTCTTTTAGAATGGAAGGGCAGATAAAGTGCTTCTCAGATAAGATCAAATTCAAGGAGTTCATCATCACCAAGCCCTTGTTATATGAAATGTTAAAGGGACTTATCTAAGAAAAAGAAGAGAAAAAATATGAACAGTGAAAGGACAGCAAACTCACAGTTATTAACAACCACACCTAAAACAAAAGCAATCTAACAGGATAGCTAGATCAGGAGCAGAACCATAGAAATGAAGATCACATGGAAGGTTAGCAACAGGAGAGTGGGAGGAGGAGAAGGGGGGAGAAGGTACAGAGAATAAGTAGCATAGACAGTAGGTAGAAAATAGATAGGGGGAGGGCAAGAACAGTAGGGGAAATATAGAATCTAAAGAACTTGAGACACGTGGTCATAAACTAAAGGAGGGGAATGGTGGGGGAGGGGGTGTGCAGGGTGGAGGGGAATGAAGGGGGGAATGGAACAACTGTAATGGCATAATCAATAAAATAAAATAAAAATAAATGTCATGGAAAAGTTGCTCAACATCAGTCATCATTAGGAAAATGCCAGTGAAGACCACAGTGAGATACCATTCATACCTGTTAAGATGGCCATTATAAAAAGCCCAAACACAACTGAACAAAAATTAAGTGTTGGCCTGGATAAAATGAAAACCTTGTGCATTGCCGTGGGGAGGTTAAGTGGTGCAGTTGTGGGGAAAAGGGTACGGCAGTTCTTCACATAATCAGAATTATTCGATCCAACAATTTTACTTCTGAGTATATGCAGAAAAGAATTGGAAGCAGGGACTCAAACAGATATTTGTATGCACCAATATTCGTAGCTGCATTATAGCCAAAAAGTGGAAATAACCCCAAATCCATTGAGATGAATGGATGAACAAAACGTGGTTGTATAAGGAAAACAATTCCGTGTCTTTCCTTTACTCTCTCCCTACTACCACACTTCACTCCTGACACCACATGTGCGGGTTTCCACACATCGGCCAATTCCCTGACAGCAGCTAGGTGTGCTACCATTTAACTCGGTCATGACACTATCTACCTGGAGATAGAGGCCAGTTCAGAGGCCAATGTCAAGTCCCAGACTGCCACCTGTACTTCTGACTGACTATAAATCAGAGTTCCCATGATCCCCTTGTTGGGTTCAATAATTTTCCAGAGTGGCTCACAGAAGACAGGGAAACACTTTGCTTTTGTTTACCAGTCCATTATAAAGGGTGTAATAAAGAACAGGAAAAATCAATCAGATGAAGAGATTAATAATAGGGTGAGGTCCAGAAGGGTCCCAAGCACAGGAGCTCCTGTTCCTATGGAGATGGGGTGCACCACCCCCTCAGCATGTATGTGTGTTCACTAACCTAGAAGTTCTCCGAACCCCACACTTCAGGGATTTGTATGGAGGCTTCCTCACATAGGCAGGATGGATGACTAACCCAGTCTCCAGCTCAGGACGATGAAGGATGGGACCACAAGTTCCCGGCTTCTAACCACGGGCTGATCTTTCCAGTGACGAGCTCCCATCCTGAAGTCACCCTGGGGCCCACCAAAAGTGACCATACTCGCACAGGAGGCACCGCTATCACTCACGAAGTTCCAACGGATTTAGGAGCTCTGGTCAAAGACCAAATGTTAGAACGAAAGGCGTGCCGAGTGCTCATATCATTACAAGGGTTTTAGGAGCTCTGTGCCAGGAACTGGAGACAGAAGCCGTATTTATTTTTCTGTTATTTCACAGTGTTATAGATATATGATGTAGTATTACTCAACCTTAAAAAGGAAGGGAATTCTGACATACTACAATGTTGATGAACCTTGAAGACATTGTGCTAATGAAGACATCAGCAGTCACCCCTTACCTGGGCTCCTTGCCTCCTGCTCAGCTCCCTCCAACCCTTTCTTCCCCTTGAAGCCAGAGGCATCTTCTAAAACTTAAGCTGATTGGCAGACTCCTGCTGAAAAGCTCTGTTACTCCCAGCCAGGGTGGATGTTCACTAAGGTGGCCCAGGGGGGAGGGGATGGGGTGGGGCTCCGTACCTCCTCCCTGGTGACAGCTCCCAGCCTCCAGTGTGGCCGCTCAAATTCTCAACCACAGCATGCTGTCTGGCTACCTCTTGTTTTTATTTTTCCAGAACACACCAGACTTTTATCCCTCTGCTGGGGTCAGGGCAGGGTAGGTCATTTGGGTTCCCCATTACATGTGGACCCAGCTCTGACCTGGGAGCAGTCCCCTCTTGCCCCATGTGGCTTCACTGTGTAGGTACATCTTCTCCCTTGTCTGGCTCCCTCTTGCCCTTTGTTATGCAGATCATGGGTCACCTCCTCCAAGGAGCCCTTCCTCGGTGCTTGTCTCTGTCACTGCTTCTGTCACACTGAGTGAAGTCTTTGCCTTAGCCCCGGTCACCTTTGTACCTGTCTTTGAGCCCCTCTTGGGCAAGGACCCCTGCAATTCACATCCTGGCGTGGGGCAGGCTTGTGGCGGGCCTGCCCGGAATACAACTCTTCCTGCTTCCTTTTCCTTCCGGCTGTCTTAGGGCTCGCACTTCATCCCCTCTGTGTTACTCCTCCAAGTGGGGATTGGAACACCACAAGGTGGTTGTGAGTATCATAACCTGCATATCGGGTTATGTTGTTCGTGTTTTCTTATGTGACCTCAATCAGCGTCATCCTGGGCCCATTGTACAGGTGAGAAAACAGGCCCAGGGAGTTAGAGCGGGAATTCTAAGCTGTGTGGTCTGCCTTTCTCTAGTCTGCAAAAAGCAAAATGGTGAGTGAAACAGCTCTCCGAAAGTACAGACTATCAGTATGATTCATGAATTTCATTTCAAGTACCACCTCGTTGCTCATTTTGAAGCTACGTACGTAGTAAACACCCACTGTGCTCTTGATTTGTACAGACGCCCTGTGGGCCAGGCACAGTCCTGGGTGCTCTGCCCTGAAACCTCGTAACATGAGGTGTAAAGCAGGTAGTTCTGTTTCACCTGCAGTATCTTTGCCCCAGGTCATGGAGCCAGGGGGTGTGTGCTACTCTAGAATGCACAGCATGCTCTCTGCCAGCTGGGCGCCCTCTTCCACCGACCCTGCGTTCCCCCGCAGGGCCCTGCCCATGCCAGCTCTTTGACTTTGCTCTGGGGTTGTTAGGCCGTTTGGCTTAGGAGTGTCAGTCATGAGATAGATGGGAATGGCTCTTGGCTCATGGTCAACCCTGCAGGGCAGGAGGCCAGGGGAAATCAAACCTCCTGTGGGCAGACACGCAGACTCTGGAAGCCTGCCCCAGGGTTGCCTCCTTGCCCTGCTGGCTGTTCTGTTCCACACCCTAATTAAAAAACCAAATGAGCAAGTTGCAGTCCTCGTGTTCTGGAGGACAGAATATCCCCAGGTGGTACTCACGGTCTGCAGAGAGCTCAGGCTGCACCCGCTGGCTGAGTCCTGCTGCCCTGAGTCCTGTATGTGCACAGTAAGCCTGTGAGGCAGCTGCTGCTAAATCTTGTTTGCCAGCTTCCTTGCTGGTTAATGGTTAGAGGGGGGCCAGTGGCCTTCATCACCACTGGTAGTCCCCGCCCCCCAGCCATTAACCAACAGGAGGCTTTTCTAGGAAGTTTGAGTATACACAGCAATGCCCCAAATTAAGTTCAATTCCCTAAAGTTTTATTTTTTTAATACCAAAATGTTGCATCAATATTTGTGCAGCTGACACAGAAAGTACAGGCGTTTTTAATTAGCATGATGCGTGACACCTGTGAAGAACCAGGTGCTCAGCTGGGGCTGGGGCTGGGGCTGGGGCTGGGGCTGGCATGGTCTTGCCTTCAAGGGACCTCAGTCTGGTAAGAGAGACAAAGGTGGAGTAAACGTAGCCAGGTGCTTCCCATGGCTCATCTCATTTAATTTCCACAACGACTATGAGTGGATACTGTTACCACTTTTCTTTAGATGGGGAAACTGAGGCCCTTGGAGATTATGTGAGCTGCCCTTGAGATTCAAATCCAAGACCATGCAACTCTAAAATCTAGCACCTTCCCTCTGCCCCACATTTTGATTCATTGGTTCTCTTTTGATTGCAGTGACAGAGACCGAACACAAACTGCTTTAAAGCAAGAAAAGAGTATTTATTGGGTCTTATTTCCATGAGAGTTCTATAAGCTGGAAAGGGTTTCAGGCCTGGTTGGATCCAGGGGTCCCCAAGTTGATCATCAGATTTCCCTGTCTCTTTAAAAAATTCTTTTTTCATCTATACTTTCTTCTGCTTTCCTCTATCTCTGCAGTGGGGACAAAGGTGGCTTTTTCAGCTCTGGGTTATTTAGTTCTAACTAGGTATTTGATATCCAAAGAAAAGAGACTCACTTTTTTCTCAGTATTCGTATCAGTTCACAGAAGGACTTTGAGCGTGGTTTTCCTTCCTTAAACTGGTCACAGGTGCAGTGTAGGGCATTTGAATGTGCCCAGTAAGGGCCCAGTGACCCCTGCTAGGTTGGCAGTGTTGTTTCCTTCCCTGCAGGGCAAAGGGGAGCTATTTCCATGAAGAAAGAAAACAGCTGAGCCCACAGCTGAGCCCACAGCTGAGCCCACAGCTGAGCCCATGGCTGGGGCTAGAGCGTGGAGGGGATTTCAGTGTTACTAGTACTTACTGGTCTTTTCAAGTTTTTTTATTCCTTAAGACATTTTTGGAATAGATATTTAAGAATTTATTGTTTTAAATCTTGTATCAGTAAGTATTTTTATTTTTTGTCCTATGTTTTGTTTGTGTATTTCCTCTTTTTTTCCCCTCTTGTTGAGTCTTTTTAGGGAGATTTGTCTAGCTAATTAATCTTTTCAAAGGACCAGTTTTTGGTTTTGTTAATACTTACTATTTTAAAAAATGACATTGATTTCTGCCTTTATATTTTTACTTAAAAATTCTCTGGGTTTTCTTCCATTGCTTTCTCCTCTATTTTCTTGAATTAAATGCTCTGTTTTCTTACTTTTTATCATTTTCAGTCTCTATATAAGTAAAGTTAAAAGTTTTTTATTTTTTTAAGTTAAAATGTTTACCTTAATACTGAGTTACATATGTTCCACAATTATTTATACTATTCCCATTGTCATTTTTCAAAGTATTTCTTAATTGCCTGTATTATTTTAATTTTTACCCGAGGGTAATTTAGTAATATGTCATTCAGTTTTTTAGAATTTTAGGCTACTCTTTTGTTATTAACTTTTATGTCACTAGGGGCAAGGAATAGCATCTATATACTGAGTATTTGGTGCTCAGTGAGGCTTTTTTCAATCTTACGTGGTCTTATGTTTTTTTAAAAAACATGTAAATGTCTTATGTTTTTAAGAAGTGGGTATTTTGATATGATGTATATACATCATATATATATCATATCGAAATATATATGTATACATCATACCATATATATATATATATCACATCGTATGTGTATTTACCTAGGTGTGTATGTATAAAAGCTTGAGCTCATTATTTTATTCAACTCTTCAGTATCCGTGTCAGGTCTGCTCACGTGAGCTCTTTGGTGGCCTAACGGGGAATGTTCAGAGCCCCAGCCGCAGCTGCGCACGCGCGTCTCTGTCAGCTGCTGCGCGGCGCACTTGAGACGGCTGACATATGTGTGCTCTCGGCAGCAATATCCTGTTGCTCTATCGTTATTTTTCTTTGTTGCATGTGACACACTGTGGCCTGAAATTCTGCTTCCTCTACCAAGGCTGCTTTCCCGACTTCCTGTCAGTACTTGCCTGATGCAGCCCGCTCTTCTATTTCCAAATTGCACGTGCCTTTCTGTTGTAAGAATATGATACGTACACAACATTTTGGTGGGTTTATTTTTATTATCCAAACAAGAGGGTCTCTGTGTTTTCACTGGCAAAATGGGCCTATTTACATTTATTTTAATTATTGTTGAATTAGGATTGAGATACTATTATTCCATATTTTTCACTTCAGTATGTTCATTTTGTGTCTTTTATTTCTTTGCATTGAAAAGACTGACTTTTCTCCCATGGGCTTAGAAGATGTTTATTCTCTGTTTGATATGACAGAGGTTCCCTTCCGCGGAAAACTGGTTACGGAGCCGGACAGACCGTCCCTCCCACGCCCTGTCTGAGCATCTGGCCCCAGAACCCGGCGGGTAAGAAATGATTACTTTAAGTTACCGCACTTTTGACTGTAGTCTGCACAACAGATTTTGTCACCGGGAAGCGGAGTGCTGCACGACAAAGCCTAAGAACGCTGCAGCGGCCCTGTGGTCGATGGGCCCCAGGAGTGGAAAGGCCTTCTGAAGACTGAGTAGGTGCCTTCGGCCCCCACGGAGGCCGTGGGGCTTGCTCGGGGGAAGGTGGCCGTGGGAAGCTGGAGGAAGAGCATCCTTACCGCACGTGGTGAGAAGTTTAGCAACACTGTCACTTGTGCTGATGTGAAAATAGAAAACAGACCTATAGCTGGTGAGATTTCGGGCAAACCGTTGAAGGTCTGGTCTGGCTCCTTCTTGTTGCTTATAGTAAAATGTGAGAGAAGGTAGCTAAGCTTAAACATTTTGTTAAATATGAAAGAGACAGGACTTTCTGGGCAAAAAAAAAATAATATCATTTCTCCTCCTTAGGCAGGGATAGCGTCTTTTGAGAAATGCCTGTTTACTGAGATGAGCGGTCAAGTTATCTTCTCCTTGTGGGTGAGTTTTTCCTACTTTAAGTTTGTGTTCATGATGTGGCTTTTCACTTTCTTAACAGAGTCTGTTGGTGAATGCAGTTCACCATTTCAGTGGAGTCCACATCTTCCCTTTATTCTTCTACAGTTAGCGCTGCTTCTGCTCGGTGTGAGGTCTCTGCCTACTCCCCGTTGTGACACACATTTTCTTATTTTTTAGAAGCTTTTATTGCTTTAGTTTTCACATTGAGACCTGCACACCATTGGGATTTAATGTTTGTGTACGGTGTGAAGCAGGGGTCATATTGCTCCTTTCTCATCTGTCTGTTGCCCGCTTTTAGTGACAGCGGGGATAGTGTTCTTTCAAACTGGCAGTGTCCTGAAAGACAAAACATGTCACCTCTCAGAGGAACTCGAAGAAGCCGGACCTCCATCGTGGCACCGTGTAAGGGCAGGAGGTGATGATTCCCAGCCGTCTTCGACAGGAATGCCCGCTCAGGATTGGGGTGACCCTGGGAGAGCAGGGAGTCGTCATGATGGCTTGCCCTGTGCAGTGCTTCGGTCCCGGGCTGGGAGGCAGGTGGGCTGTGAAGCTCGTTACTGGGAAAAGGGACACAGTTGAGGTATGGATGGCATGTTATGTAGAAGTGTTGTACCAGTGCTAAAATGACATTTCAAATTCATAGGAAGTACCCACAGGCATATTTAAGGATAAAGGGTCATGATGTATAAACATTTACTCACAACTGATTCTTTGAAATACACACGCATGCACACACACATGTATAAACACACGGGGTTGCTGTAGAGACCGAAGGGTGTGTGACCTCGGGCAGTAGCAGGCACAGGGTAAGGCCTCAGTCAAGAGAACCATTGTCAGACTTGCTGTTATTTTATCTTTTCTTGTGCCCGCCAAGTACTGGATTCAGCTTAGATCCTGCCTGGTATAAGAAGGACTTTTCTTTAATCACCAACCTCTTACCTTCTTAAAATAGAAGAATAATTTTTAAAAGAGAAAGCACCATTTTTCATAAGCACTTTTGAGTCAGACAGACGTTCATTTGCTGATTGCGTCTCCTCAGCCGCCGCTGTGTGCTCACCAGGCGCTGCGAGGAGCAGCCGCCAGGTGAGTGGGGCCTGCTCCCTGCTGACCCCGAGACCCAGTTCCTCTCTCCCCTCTGGCACAGTCACAGCTGCATCTGGGGCTCATTTGAGAATGATTTACCAGTCTTTCGGGGTTTACCCCAAATCCTGGGAGGAGCTTTGGGCTAAAGCCCTCTAAATCCAACCCACCTACTTGTCTGAAATCACTCTATGACACATGTCTGTCCTGGGTTCCTCTGTTCTAACTCGGTCAGCCACAGAAGCTGGGGCTGGGAATGTGGCTCCGGGTCTCCTCACTTCTTCAGCCTGTGGGGAAGGCAGCGCTGTCTGGATTCCTGGCTCCAGGGAAACAGGGCCCAGGCCTTGCCTGGCATGGGGCGGGTCACATCAGGCCAGAGCCTGCAGTGATCAGAATCTCCAGGGAGGGGTCTGACTGGCCTTTGCTGGGCCCTGGCCAGGTGTTTATCCCAGGAATCGTGAACTGTGCTGGCAGAGAAGACCACCAACCAGAACTCGTGGCTGGTGTGGGTAGGTTGACCTAAATCTTGGGCTTCAGAGGCTGCACCGGAGTCGGCTGTCAGTGGTCCTACAGCCTGCCTTTTGGCTGTCAGGGGTCTGGAGAACAGCCTGGTTCCCTTTTCTGCAGCCCTGCCAGCCAGCATTGGCTGGGGTCACTCGTTCTGCCTGTGAGCTCGGCCTTTGGGCAGGATTGTAGCCCCTCTGGGCCCTCCTCCTCCCAGATAGGCAGCTGCACAGCCCAGGGGGCCATCGA